TGTTGGTGAGCATCCACAATCTTGTACGTAGGAGTCGAACTCAGGACTTTCGATGACACTCGCGAATGTTTAACCTCTAGAGCACTGAGTCGGCATCTATGGATATGAATGCCGCATACTCTCTCTCTCTCTCTCTCTCTATATATATATATATATATATATATATAATTCAAATTACGTCTTTGTAGGTCTCAGTAGGTCTGGTTTAAGTGCTTGTCAATCATATATACTCATAAACAGCTCCATGAGTCGTTTTAACCTCAAAGTTAATTCAACACTACAAAAATTTGATGAAGGCATGTTGACTGTAGAAAGGCTCGACAGGGGGGTTAGTAAATGCAAACATGATGAAATATGAGCATTAATGGTTTAATTCGCTTATTGCGGTTAGCTGTTTTTGAACAGGATTATTTTACATGGGATGAGTTTACACACCCTATGTCCAAACCTTCTGTTTTACCCTGGCTTGGGACAATCAGTAACCCTAGAAGAGCTACAGACAGCAGCCTCTACAGTAGTAAGCCTCGACATGCGTAACGGGAGAACCAAGATTCTCAAATAGCGCACGGTGAAAACCAACGCAATTACATTTGATGGGGGAGCTTTAGAAGAGGTGAAAATATTCACATACCTAGTCAAAATAATCGATGAAGAGGGAAGATCTGATGCAGACGTAAATACAAGGATTGGTAAATCAAGGCCAGCATTCCTAGAACTGAAGAACATTTGGAACTCAAAACAACTATCAACCAATATCAAACTTAGAATCTTCAATACGGACGTCAAGGCAGTCAGTTATATTGTGGAGAGCTAAAACTTGTAGAACTACGGCAACCATCATCAAAATGGTATAAGTATTTATAAACAGTTTTCTGCGCAAGACAGTATCCGATAGTCGGATATCATCAGCAACAACCTACTATGGAAGAGAACAAATCAGCTGCTATCTTGAGAGGAAATTAGGAAAAGATGTTGGAAGTGGATAGGACATACGTTACTACCTAATATTACATTACAGACTGTATTACGAGAGAAGCACTAACTTGGAATCCTGAAGGGAAATGAAGAAGTGGAACACGAAAGAATGCACTACTCCAAGAATTGAAAGTAGACATCAAAAGGATAAACAGCAACTGGGAACAAGTGTAAAGAATTGACAAGGACAGAGTTTGATAAAGAATATTGGTAGTCGATGTATGCTTCTCCACGAGGAGTAGCAGACGTAAGTGAGTAAAATAAACAAGCAAGTAAGTAAGTAAGTAAGTAAGTAAGCAAGTAAGTGAGTAGGTTAGTAAGGTAAGTAAGTAAGTAAGTAAGTAAGTAAGTAAGTAAGTAAGTAAGTAAGTAAGTAAGTAAGTAAGTAAGTAAGTAAGTAAGTAAGTAAGTAAGCAAGTAAGTAAGTAAGTAAGTAAGCGAGCAAGTAAGTGAGTAGGTTAGTAAGGTAAGTAAGTAAGTAAGTAAGTAAGTGAAGTAAGTCTAATTATCTTTTGTACAATATAATTTCTATTAAAATCTCAATTTTAAATCATCACTCTACTTATTCATTTAATGATATCAAAGAAACACAATCATCAGTGTTTATTTTAATGTTTGTTTGTTCCCGCTTTAATTTAATTTTAAATTTTAATTATTATTATTTTTTTTCTTGAATATTATGGTTACATTTATTACATAATAAAAAAATTTTTGTTTCATTCTAATTAACTTTCATTTGATTGTTTTCGTTTTTCATGTGAATTCATTTACATGTTCAATGAATGAACTAATATTAATGCATAAAATACTAATAATTTTAAAAACAATTATGATAATTAAATTAAATTAAAATTGTTTTATTATTTCAATGTTCAATGTTCAATATTCAATGTTCAATGTTCAATGTTTTTTTTTTATTTATTGAGTAGGAAATAAAATGATAAGGCGGGGAGAAAAAGTTATGCACATTCTTAGTATACCTATATACATAGGTATACGGCTATAATGGGTATAATGGGAGAAACTTCTTTACTTTTTTATAGTCTAATTAGAATTAACTTTTTTTTACTTGACATAATAAGAAATAAAATGAAAGAAAAGTAATTAAAAACTGAGAAAAAAGAAAGAGAAAGAAAATAATTTCACTGATATATTTGTGATTAATTTCTTTATTTGTTATTAGTTTTAATAGATGGATTCATAAGTCAAATGAAGCTAGACCACCATAGAAAACCTGGACGCTTAACCTGTAGACCACTGATGTGGTCAGCATCCAACAGTGTTAATATCTAGCTTCAATTGATCCACCATATTGCGCTCGTGCGTGAGACTGATAGTTCCTGCGTTCGAATCTCGCGCGATCGTGTACGCGCACTGCTTACGAGTCCCATATTAGGACGATACAACCATCTAGTACTTCCAGGTTTTCCATGGTAGTCTAGCTTCAATTGACTCATGATTTCAACTATTAAAATTATTATAATATCCACAAACCCCCCCTCTGATTACAATCATCATATCCTCACTAGTGACCGTCTCCAAGAGGTATTACCTGGAGTTCTAGTGAAAAGCTATGACCAATGGAGTTCAACCGAGTTTGTTGTGAGATAGTAACTCACTGAAAACAATGATGTGTGTGTCATTCAATTTCGTGGATTAGTTGGATTCAGACATTGACAAAGTTGGATGCCGGCTCAGTGATTTATAGGTTAAGCGTTCGCTCACGAGATTAATGATTATTAATTTACCCATGAATTTTTATTTCTTAATATTATGTTAAATGATACAAATTAACCAGCATTATTCTTGCTTAACAGTTTATTATGGTCGAGACTGAAGTTAGTGGGTTTGGATTCTATGTATGAGATGGTGGATGCATACTGCCGAAAAGTCCCAAACTAGGAAAAAAACGGTCGACTAGTTGTTCAAGGTTTTCAATCGTGATCTAACATTGATCATTTCATGATCTTAATTAAAACTCAACAATCTCTACAACCATGTACTCATAGTTGTATGAAATACTAGGATATTTAAAATTTACATGTTACTTACTGAATATTATATCGACTAGACAAATAGAAAAATTATAAACACTAATTATACGAATAAGGATTTGTGGAGTTTGTGGTAATTTTAATAGTTGAATTTATGAGTCGATCTAAGTTAGACCACTATTGAAAACCTGGAAGCACTGGATAGCCGCTTCATCCTAGTATGAGACTCTTCAGCAGGCATGATTCGTGAAGTTCAATCCGTGTCGCGTGGAAACAGTTATTCACTACAGACAATGGATGAAGAATTGCTCAAGATCACACATTAATGGTAAGTAAATATTATCAGTTTTTGTCTCATAGGGTGATAAATGATCTTATTTCATGTCAGTTATTGTCAGAGCAATCGTTGCATATCATATCACGTATACATTTAACGGTTATATATCAACATACGACAAATAGTTTGTTAATAAATTTATATTGGTTACGAAAATACACAACTCTTTTGGTTAAAGAATAAACAACTTATATGAGATAACTATCTGTGGAATCAGTCAATCAGTCAGCCAGTCAGCTACAACATAGGACCATGCATATATATATGCATAGGCCCAATTTGTCAAACCTCATTAGCACAACAAGATGATCGCTATTAGGACTGTGGAATAATGCCATTTTATAAGTTAACAATACTATGGTTATTGTATATAGTAAAAACCTACAGTATAGTACTATCATACTAAAGTTTTATTTAAGCTGTCAACATCAAAAAACGTACTATGTGTAATTTAGACAAAATCATATCCAATTGTCTTGCAGTCTGGTGGTAAAATGAATCGGGTTATAAAACATTACTTAATTTAGTGGATAGTTCCGCAGTATGTGTCATTTCATGATGAAAAATGTCTTCACAAATTTCCCAGCGCGAGAGTGATGGATTCTGAGTTCGAACCTCGTAAGGCAGGATCGTTGGTATACACTGCTGAGGAGTCCCATACTAGAACGAAACGGTCATCCAGTGCTTCCAGCTCTTTTATGACGGCCTAGCTTCAATTGACTCATGAATTCGACAATTGAAAAAAACGAAGTAATTCACATTATGATCAGTGTTTGTAGCTTTTACTCTATTATGATGCTCAGTATTAGTGTAACGAATGAAGACTCGGATGGGAACAACCGTATGTATTTTAATACAAAATTACAGAGTTCTTTCATCAAATGTGAGAATGATACGTTCAATAATTCATTTGTAAATCCTCCATCAGTTGTCTCAAACTTCATCGTTTTTTTCATTACTATAACAATTACTCTCTGTTCCCGTTCTCTTTGATTCAATCTTCCCAATCTTCTGTTAATAGACATTTCATTTCTGATTGGTGTTATATACTACTTATATGGACATAAGTAACATACACCAAACTATGACAAAAAAGATACCTTTTCTAGAAGCTTAACAGTCATGAATTAGTTTTCTTTCATTCTAATCACACTGGGATATAAAATACAAATGACTAGTATTTATCCACCTAAAACATTAGGGTTTTTATATGCAGCATAAGAAAAACAACTTCTAGAAAGACGAACATATTTCAGATCACGTATTCATCTATTTACAAGCTATACAACGCTGTTCGAATTCAGATTAGTCATTTACATGAAGACAGAATTCTAGTCCTTTGTGGAAAATGTTTACCATTACAGAGAGTAATAAAATGAAGCATTATACAGTAACGTGAAGTGTTTGGGAAACACAAATTCGAAAGGTTAAGGATCCGCTAAAGTTGTATTTTAACATGAAAGTTGTAGTAGATAGGGCTTACTAAGTGAGAATACTAAGTTTAAGCGTGGAGAAATAAGTGTAGATTAGACTGTTGATCTTTATCAATCCAGGTGCTTGTTTTTTAGCCATATTGTAAGGTTCAGATTTCCTAGTTGATTTCCATCGAATGATTGTCTAGTTGTCTAGCATGAACATACACTATTCAACTGATGGATAAACTTCCAAGGAACTCAGAAAGAAAGCTGTTAAACTTGATTAACAATCAGATATAATCATGAAAAGTTTTTTAAACATTATAGATAGATACAACAGAGATGAGAAAATAAACGCATACACAATTGATGATGAAATGGAAGTTCACAAAAAAGAAACTAAATAAAGTCAGTTATTGATTATTTCAATTATTATTCTTCCGTACTGTGGTTGATAAGTTCCTTGACTTTTGGATACGTCTATATAAAGAACAAGAAAATGAAAGAGGGAATTACACAGTATACAAAGAAATCGCTACAAACAGATCGATTGATTTGGTCAACTTATATCTAAATCATAAGTTTTAAGTCACCTATAAATTTTACCTAATCCTCACATAGATATTACTGTGAATCATTGACCCTTTTTCAATAGGAGTTAGAGAATATAAAAAATACTGGACTATTTTAGACAGATATACCGTTACAATAGAAATATCTGGAACAGTAGTATATGATTTGCCCCCAAATGCCCTGATACGACGGAGAGTGGGAGAGTCAGCTCGCTCTCTCGAAATGCTCTCACACGACCACATGCATACAACCACTCCAAGGGAAGTTCTACTCACTCCCTTCTCGTGACATTATTATTGTTTACGAAATTGAAAGGACGAAAAGAGAATGCCCGTCACTCTAACCGGGTTTGTGGATACGGAGGATCTACCTAGGGAAGTTGAAAAACACCGAATCCAAACTAATGGTGTACGAGGGCTCCAGTATTCTGAAGGAACATATGGCTTATGAATCAATTGTTGGTGACCGGCTACCATGGGACTGCATCTCCCGACGTTGCTCAACTGCCTTGTGGACTAGTCCTTTAAGTCAGAGGCTCCGGGTGCGGTTACCTAAGAAAGTCACCCGCTTCGGTTTGGGCACTCGAACATCACAGCCATTACAAAAATCGAATGATTTGTGTGGCGCATATCCGTTTGATGCCTCCTTATACCAATGTTTATATGTTTAAATAAATAAATAAATAAGTACATGATTTAAAATTGCTATACTTTCTAACAAAACCTAATTGAAAAGATATTAAGATAGAATGAAGGATGTACATGAAAGGGGAATATATAAAGGAATATTTGTGATCTATTGAAAAAATGTGAAAAAGTTAAAGACTAAATATAACATTCCCGGTAGTCCTTAAAATCCATAGTTTGACCAAGTCAGTCTAAAACCTAATACGTAATACAGAGCAATTGTCAGTCAATTCGTAGCTTGTGTATTAGATTATCACTTACTGATAGTACTTCCAATCGACTGATTACTGGGTTGCGATCAATGTCATGTGCGTCAAGTCCTTTTTAGTGCAGATCGAATGCTATCGATCAAGTTGCAATGTGGTCACTAGTCTAGGTGACTCAGCATTGCGTGCACTATGTTGAGGTTAGATGGTGTTTGGAGGTAGTCAACAGGAAACCCTGGACCCGGGTTTCGTGTTACCTGGCACTCGTCAGCAAGGTGTACGTGTAATCCTGAAGTAACTGGTGCTTCCTGAAGGATTCGATCCCGTGTCACTCAGCTTCACAGTCAGAGACGTTACCAGTGGCTATCCGGGCAGCGACCGACCTCCTGTAGGACTATGATGTAATCACAATTGGTTGATCACTGGGTGGTGATCCAATTAAATTCATTGAATCATATGTCTTAAATGTTCACTTCCGAGAGACACAGAACATATGACATACGTTCTTATAAAACAACAAAAAAAGCACTTGGAAATATATTTGAGTATTACATGTATACCACAAAAGATTTAGATTAGTTGGATCCAAATTATTAAAGCTGTTAATACTCGTCAAATGAGTTAAATAGTTATTCAAGACATTTCACTTTGTAATTAAACAGATTTTAATGAAGGTGCTGGCACAGTATATTTTCTGGTTAGTGTTTCTTTAGCGAGTTAGTTTTCGACGGAATGGAGTCACTAACTCCATACCCAACCCTCCTTCTTTATCCAGGCTTGAGACCAGCAGTAGCCCCAGAGGGGCTTCAGGCGGAGCTTTGGAGGATGTAAAAAACTCTACACATCTCGGCAGCATCATTGATGAACACCGTCAATCTGATGCACATGTGAAGGCGCGGATCAACAAAGCAAGAGCAGTATATCTACAATTGAAGAGCATCGGGAACTCAAAACAACTGTCAACCAACGCCAAAGTCAGACTTTTCAATACAAATATCAAGAACACATTACGCCAAGAAATGGAGACAGACATGAGAAGAATGAACAACAATTGGATAGAACTACAAAGGAAGGTCCAGGACAGAGTGGGCTGGATAATGCTGGTGGGAGGCCTATGCTCCATTGAGGTAGCAGGCGTAAGTAAGTAAGGTAGCATAGTATCTTACTACATTTAATAATTTGAAAAACCTCTATCCTAGATTGAATTTAACTAACGTTCATCAAGTTTTGATGTTACTATCACTTTTACAAGTTAAGTAGAATCTAAAAATTGTTAAGGCCGTCGACATATGTTAACTTCAGTTTTTGTCAACGAAATATGTTCTAAGCTTGAATTAGGGCTTTCAGAATTTGTTGAAAGTTCTACAGTGGTCCTATCAACTCGCGTAAGCTAACGTAAATTATCAATTCACTTGATGTTGTTTGACTTGTATCTTCTCATTGTTATTTAGGACTCAGTCAGTCAGTCAGTCAGTCAGCTACAACGTAGGACCAGGCACATATGTGCATCGGTCCAGGTTGCCATACCTCATTAGCACAACAAGATGAACACCGGATTCATAGGAGTGGTTAGGTCAAAGGTTGCAATAAGGATATAGTATAGGGGGTGTGATTGATAATTCGCAAAGAGTAGTTTGAATGTAATGTTGTGGATAATGAATAGGAGAGGAGAGAGAGAGAGAGAGAGAGAGAGGGTGTGTGATGCGGAATGTTGTGTGACCGGTTGGAGTCTGAGCATTGCACCTCGTTCGGTTGGAACTCACGACGAACCGGAATCGGCTGTGCTGTGAGCTACTTACATTGACATAAGTAGTATATGACGCTAGTCAGGAACAGAATGTCTGGCAGCAGAGAGACAAGAGGATCGAACGAAATTGATCAGTCTTTCTTATTGGCATATGCACATACTGTGCGGACTGTTTTAATGTTGCATAAAGTCACAAGCTTTATAAACAAAAATGGATATTGGTTAGGAGTGGAATCCAGGACGCGCGTTTCGTAGCGAACGGTACTGGGTTCGAGTCTCAGAGTGAACATCTAATGTGAAATACAAGTATATCCAGGTGACGAGTCTCAACTAAGACGAAATGCGCATCCTGAATTTCACTGCTAGCCATCTTTGCTTATAATGTAAATTATATTCAAGTATCATAGGCACTTTGTTGACACTATTATACTTTGAAGTATGTTGTACAGTAAGAGAAACTTGCTTAGAATGTTGATTTATTAACTGGGAATAAGGAATATCTGAAGTTTTAGAATGAAAAAACATTCATATTGTAATCAGGAACTTTGGACCTAATTCAATGGTTAATACATGAACAATTGAATGAAAAGCTTACTTGACATAACCAATCAAAATATTCTTCAGTGGACATGTCTACAATACGTGTTCGTATAAAATCAATGGCTACAGCACTTGCTGGTAAAAGAATTTCCCAAAGTGTTAAAGAACACAGGACACGAGTAAATGACATCACAGTAAATAGACTTGGTGACAACTAAAAAGAAGAAAAAAAAGAAACCCCACGTCAAGCTGTTAGAAAGAAAGGAATGATAGTTCAAACTGTTGACTACTCATGAATAAAGATATTTTCTTAAAGTATTAGTTCTTTAAAATATCAGATATGTTGTGTTGTTTTTGATGTTCGATAGCATTTTAATCAAAAGATAAAACAACGCTGAATACTAACATAAAAGTCACTTGGTATTGTTTACTTGAATCTTCCCATTGATGTTTAGCACTGCAATTGGCGTATGTGCATACTGTGCGTATGCCTCGATATGGCTTTAATTCACCAGCATTTGTATGCAAAGATGGATAGTGGCTAGCAGTGGAATCCAGGACACGCGTTTCGTCCTATTTGAGACTCGTCAGCTTGATGTACACGCATCTCAGACTTTTTGATGTTCACTCTGGGACTCGAACTCAGTACCGTCCGCTTCAAACGCCATCGCGTTATGCACTTAGTTATTACTGAAGTTTAAATTCACTTGGTATTATTTACTTGAATCTTCCCATTGAGTATTATGCAGTTTAGACTAATTGATTACTGAGTAATAAACAATTCTATTTTATCTACGAAGTGGTCACTGGACTATATGACTTGATATCACAATGAACTTGATCTGTTCTCAAATGGTTAGAGACAATCGACAGAAAGTTCTGAGGTTGGATTTTATGCTGACCAGTTATCATTAGAAATCCATGTTTGCAGTGTTATAGGAACTCGTACTTCCCCAAACACTTCAAAGCTATGTCACACAGTGAATCAAACACAAACGTCACTTCTAGGTTATTCGTATCACGAGTGAACTTATTTATGACTGAGATGTTTGCATAAAACACTTAACCATGTTACGAGTTAAACAATAAGCTCAAATGAAATTAAGTTATGTTTACCTTATTCAAAAAAATCAACAAAACAGTTGAAGAAGGTTTGAATAGACTTCTAGATGTAAAAAAGAGAGGAATCAGTTCAAAATCTGACTGTAGAATCAATCCAGAATATTTAAGTAATGACTGAAGTTAAACAATACAAACCATTTGGTTTTGGATCCGGAAGAAAAACAACAGAATGACTTTTAAGGAAATTATAGATGCATAGAATTTAAATTAGGTTGAGTTGAAACAGAAGAAACAGACTAAACTAATGACATGAAACCCTTCACAAAGATGAATCATTTATTATTCTACACATAAATAAGAAAAACATTAGACAGTTATAGAATGATTAGGGAAAATATAAATAGCCAAAGAACAAAATATTACAAAATGAAAAGAATATTTCGAATCACTATTGAATATCTGGAAGCGTTGAACTCTTCAGCAGTGCGCATCCACGATCCTGTACACAGGACGCGGATTAAGGACCTTCGGCCTCGAGCACGAAATCAAACTCTGATCCCGTAATGTCATGGATTGATTGAAGTTAGACAATAGCACTGTTGGATACCAGCCCCGTGGTCTACAGGTCAAATATTTACACACGAGACTGAAGGTTCTTCGTTCGACTCTCGCGTTCGGAATCGTAGATGTTCACTGTTGAGGTGTCCCATACTAAAACCAAACAGCGGTCCAATGTTTCCAGATGTTTATTAGTGGTCCGACTTAAATAGATTCATCACTAAAATGAAATTCAACTATCTCCACAACCCATACAGAAAAATATTCTGAATATTAAAAATAATGGAGGATGCATTTAGGCTAATTAAACTGTTTCTTCGATTTTTTTTGAATGAATAATTTTATGTCGTTTGAGGTAGTTTGTCACTACACAGAGTTCAAAACTTACAAAGAGATAGCTCATCAGTATTTTTCGAGGTTCAATTGATTTACAGTTCATCTGACTACATTCTAACAACAACAAACTCAGAATTTTCAATACAAATATCAACACAATTATACTGTATCGGGTGCAAACTTCAAGAACTACGAAAGTCATCATCCAAAAGATACAACTGTTTATTAACAGTTTTCTTCAGAAAATACTTCCGATCCGTTGACAAGACACTATCAACAACAACCTACCGAGGGAGAGAACAAACCAGATTCCAGTGGAGGAGGAAATCAGGAAGAAGTGCTGGAAGTGGATAGGACACACATTTAGGAAAGCACTCAACTGCATCACAAGTCAAGTGCTGACTTGAAACCCTTAAGGTCAAAGGAGACGAGGAAGACCGAAGAACACATTACACCGAGAAATTTAGACAGATATGAAGAGAATGAACAAAAATTGGATAGAACTAGGAAGGATGGTCGAGGACAGAGTGGGTTGAAGAATGCTGGTTGGCGACCTATGCTACATTGGGAATAACAGGCGTAAGTATGTTTAAGTAACCTTATGGAGTGAATATAATTTAATCTAACAAGTTATTTAACGAGAGTGAATTATCTCACAGTGACTTAATATTGAAGAAAAAGTTTAAAAGATGCGCGGTACATTAACCAATTAGCTATTTGAATGATTTTAGTCAAATGAAGGTTAATAATTACATATCTATGGTTATTTTGTATAAAATTGTCAGTTTTAATAATTCATGAGTCGATCTAAGCTAGACCGCCATTGCAAACATGAAGGCATTGGTTGAACATTTTATCTTAGTATAGAACTCCTTCATAGTGCGCATCCACAATCGCGTATATGGGACTCAAACATAGGACCTTCAGTTTTGTGAGCGAACACTTGACCTGTACACTACTGAACTGTCATTCAACAGTGTTAACGTCTAAATTTAATCAATCTATGATCTTGTGCAACACTTCATCGATTGTCTAAAGTGGAAGACTCTCTCCACCCGACGCAGATTGGATTCCATGGTTTGTGTCTTCTCACTAGAGCTTCAAGAATTCCATCTTGAAGTCAGTCACTAATGAGCATATAATGATTATTCTCAGAATGGGGATTTATGAAGATTGTAATTTTGAAAAAAAAATGGTTAGAAATTATTGAACTATGCTTAAAAAATCCTTGGAAATTCAAAGGATTGATAATTTACTTACTTGAGCATAAAATTTAAGTTTAGATAAAACGGTTATAAATTTCGGTTCAGATTTTAGATCGCATAAATCAGCCAAAATATCCAAATACCTAAATTTAGGAATAAACAATAACAATAAATTATCCGTATAGGGATTGTGGAGATTATTAAGTTTTTTGATTAAGATCATGAATCGATTGATGTTAGACCATCGTTGAAAACTTGGTAGCATTAGACGGCCGTTTCGTTCTATTTTAGGACTTCTCAGCAGTGCACCTTCGGTCTCGCGCGTGAATGCTTAACCTCTAGACCACTGAGCCAACTGGTACCTAACGGTGTTGATGTATAACGTCAATCAATCCACGAAATCGCACCACCATCTTTGATTGTACTGGGGTAGATACCTGTTCGAATCCTGTGAGCAAGATCGTAGATGCGCACTGCTGAGGAGTTTCACAATAAGACAAGACGACCATCTAGTCCTTTCAGGTTTTTAATAGTGGTCTAACATCAATCGATTCATGATCTCAACCAAAATAATATAAAATTTTTAATTACACTGTGTTTATAAAGAATTATCATGAATTTGAACACTCCCTAGAGAGGTACTGACTGATTGCTATCACAAAAGGTTTTATTATCAATAGCGCAAAATATGGTATTGAAAACAATTTTTTAAACATTCAGAGTGATTACAACATAGACAATAAGTTTCAGAGAACAATCTGTTAGTAACTAATTAAGATGTAAATTCAGACAATTAGTGGATAGTTGTTAAGACTCATTTTTTATAACATAACATTTGAATTATGGTGAACCCCTATTGAGATTTGAAGATCATTGACTACATAGTTCACAGGTCGTACTGTCTTATCTAGCTTAAAATAGCCATTTTCCTCTATGACCTATAGTTGATCTTTCACGTCTATCATTTGACGTTATAAAGTAATGATGTAGGATCCGCAGTAGTTCTCAGTAGCAGTTGTATAAAAAGTGCTTATATATAACGAAATATATTCTGTGCTAACGGCTAGAAAATAAAGAACCTCGATCGAAGTTCCTGGGTTCAAATCCCGCGTGCAGGATTGTGGATATGCACTGCTGAAGAGTTTTATAATAAAATAAACAAAAAAATGTTTATTCTTATTTTGATTGACAGAACTTAACAACTCACAGAGACTAACGTACCATAAGTCAATTTTCTTGCTACTAATATTTGACCACAGATGCCTAAGAAATATTGCTGGCGTCTGCTGCGATCACCGATTAAGTAATAATGAGGTTAGACGTAGGGTATTAGGGAATGATGGTAAATCAGTTGAAGAGGTTGGGAATCTTCATCGACTGAGATGGTTGGGCCACGTGTTACGTATGCCTGAACACCGATCACCACGACGTGCAATGCTAACCGTATTGAAGATGGTTGGAAGAAAGCTAGGGGCGGCCAAACCGAAACGTGGCATCAGTCATTAAAGTCACGAACTTCTAGTCTGAGACATGTTGGTAGATCCAGACTAATTGGTTGGGGTCCATGTGACTATCGTAACCAGTGGTCTCAGACTCTTAGTGACATGGCTCTCTGTATTCCTTTAAACTACGAGATGAAAATCGCTTCATATTTTTCTTTCTACGAACTAATTCTTTATTCTTGTACCATGTCCTTACATGCAAACTTTCCTTTATATATTACCACCTCTGAATTAACTACTTTTATGAATTTGGTCTTCATCTTGTTGTGTTAATGAGGTATGGCAACTTGGATCGATGCATATATGTGCCTGGTCGTACGTTGTAGCTGACTGACTGAGTCGATTTTCCTACCTCTAAATTAAATTTTTATCTAATTATCATGTGAGAAATAAGATTTCAAACTATTCCAGCAAGAAAGCTAATCAGAAGAAGATATCTCATCATACACTAATTCTATCATAAGTCTTGATCTCGTCCAATATGATCCTATGTACTTGCAGTTTGCATGTATCTTATATGTATATTAAAAGCAATATGTGAAGTTCAAAATAATGTAAATAGAGTAATCAAACCGTCATATCTAAAGTCAGTGAAGTGCAAGAAACTAATGTAAAGAAACTTATAGTTAACCTATCTAAAGCCATGACTATTCTTTATTTCTCCCCTCCCCCATCCACCCTCTGTTTAGATCTTCAGCATGTGATTTCTTTTGGATTATTTGCGTCCTGCCAAAAGTATGTACTACATGCTTAGTTTAGTATGAACTCAATAAGTTTAATCCACATGGTGTTGTTTGCTTGTATCTTCCTATTGTTATTTAGGACTGTAATTGATCAGTCTCTTGTTGACATATGTGTATCCAATGCGGACTGCCTTGATATTGCCTAAAGTCACAAGCTTTATAAACAAAGATGGATAGTCCTAATTAGGACTCGTCAGCTGGATGTACCTGCATCTCAGATTTGATTTTCACTCTGGGACTCGAACACAGTAGCAAGTGGCTAACAGGACTCAATAGCTAAGTGGATATCGCGATGACATTTGAAGCGAACGGTGCTGAGTTCGAGTTTCAGAGTAAACATCAATTTTGGACTGTAGGTACATCCGACTGACGAGTCTCAAAATAAGACAAAACACGTGTCCTGGATTCCATTGCTAACCACTATCTGTCTTTGCTTATTCAGTAAGTTTAATTTCCTAATGATAGAAAAATATTAGAAGTTGGAATATTTTCTATTTTGCAATGAAAAAAAAAACAAACAAACAAACAAACGGATACATGAAACTATGAATGAATAAAATGGATCAATTACGGGAAATGGCACAGATCACAAGTTATCCAATATCAAAATACCAGATCAATTAATGATCAATAATAACAATCCCAAATTGATCTAAAATAATTCATATCAAAATATAATTTTAGTTACCATGGAGCTAATTCATTTTTTTGATTCGATTTTTTAACCAGTTCACCAGTTGCTTTATTATAAAGAGCCATTCTACGCATACATTGCATAGCTATATGTGTATAACGATTAGTAGGAATATTATGATATTTAGTCAAGCATATTTCTGGTTTTATTCTATAAGAAAAGAAAAGAAAAGTTCAACACTTAGTAGACTATTACTGGCAAATTTTATTTTCCAACTTTATTGCTTACAGCTAACGAAACAATGATTCAATAAATGATAATGATGTATTACGGCGAAAATCAACTCAATTCCTTTCTCTAAACGTTCTAAACTTTTTAGGTGTGGGTTCGAATCCCACTCGTGACACTACATTTACAGTCCCCAAATGCCCTGATACAACCGAGGGTTGGGAGAGTCAGCTCGCTCTCTCGAAATGCTCTCACACGACCACATGCATACAACCACTCCAAGGGAAGTTCTACTCACTCCCTTCTCGTGACATTATTATTGTTTACGAAATTGAAAGGACGAAAAGAGAATGCCCGTCACTCTAACCGGGTTTGTGGATACGGAAGATCTACCTAGGGAAGTTGAAAAGCACCGACTCCAAACTAATGGTGTACGAGGGCTCCAGTATCCTGAAGGAACATATGGCGTATGAATCAATTGTTGGTGACCGGCTACCATGGGACTGCATCTTCCGACGTTGCTCAACTGCCTTGTGGACTAGTCCTTTAAGTCAGAGGCTCCGGGTGTGGTCCCCTGAGAAAGTCACCTGCTTCGGTTTGGACACTCGGACATCACAGCCTTTACAAAAATCGAATGACTTATGTGGCGCATATCCGTTTGATGCCTCCTTATACCAATGTTTATGTGTTTAAATAAATAAATGAAGATAAAAATAGTGTGAAGTTAGGAAAAAATCGTTTATCATTGAAATGATCCACCCCTAAGAATTTAGGGGAAGATAATCACTAATATGCTACAAATATAGTGTAGTTCTAGTATATGGAGCTGAAACTTGTAGAACGACAACAATCATCAACAAAAGGGTATAAGTATTTATAAACAATTGTTTACACAAGATACTCAATGTTCGATGGTCGGATATCATCACCATTCACGTTTCAATGATTTGATCTACAACCATTTGCTCACTATAAAAATATTATTCTCTGTATAACCTTGATGAATAATTTAATTTGAATAATCAAATAAAGATTGATTGAAGTTTAACTTCAACACCGTTGTATGCCTGCTCATTGATCTACAGGTTAAGCAGTCGCGCGCGCGAGACCAATAGGTCTCGATTTCGAATCTCGCAGGTTGGGATCGTAGATGTGCACTGCTGAGAAATCCCATACTAGGACAAGACGGACGTCCAGTGCTTCCAGGTTTTACATGATGGTCTAGCTTTAATTGACTCATGAATTTAACTATTAAATATAAATTTATCTTACAGTTTACGTACAATAAACTTAGTAAAACTTACTGTTTCATAAATTCCAAACGATCTTGCAATTTAATAGCGTTCTCATCAGTCATTACTGATAATTGTTTGCGTATGTTATTCACTAAATTTATTAACTTATGACTGGAAAACTCTTTAGGAACTTCATTCACGTGACCTTTCACTGGCCTGTAATAGAAATTATAATCTCAATAACAGTAATTTCAGTTCAGATAAATATGGATGCCCACAGTTGAAACCACAAGTCGATCTAAGATAGGTCACCATTGAGAACCTGGAAGCGTAGATAAGCCGTTTCTTCCTGATATGAGATTCCTCATTAGTGTACATCCGTGACCTCACACGCGGGAATCGAACTGAGGATCTTCGGTCTTGTGCATGAATACCTGACCTCTAGACACTGAGGTAGCATCCAACAGTGTTAATAGTTAACCTTAATCAATCAATGATATTGCTCAACCCTTCGTCCATTGTTTTCGGTGAGTAACTGCCTCACATCTGATACAGATTGAACTCCACTGGTCACGATCAATGCTTCCAGGTTTTCAATGATGGTCTAGCTTAGATTGACTCATGATTTCAACTGTGAAAATACTACAATCTCCTCAAATCCCCATACAAAAAAATGTAAACGACAAAACGTTTTTCATAACATTCAGTTAGTTAACTCTGCTTTAATAGAAAACTTATGTATATTTGTTGATAAAACGTTGAATGACAATCATCTACCATACTTCATAGTCGAAATACAGTGCAGTTTACGACTGTCACTCTTAAAGGATATTCTTCTCTAAAACTGGATGAAATCATCAAATAACTAGCAAAGTATTCAGCTTTTCATATGAAAACATCGATGAGAATCGATCGATTATTCACTTTTATCATTCTTATTTGAATATTCAATTACACTAAGTGCTTTTTGCCGCCTTACTGTTCGAAAAACCAACAATCAATTTATTTCACTTGGTATTGTTTACTTGATTCTTCCCATTGATGTTTAGCACTGCAACTGATCAGTCTCTTGTTGCCATATATGAATACTGTGCATATTGCCTTAATTTACATGTATTCTAAGTAAAGATGCATAATGGCTCGAGTCCAAGTGTGAACATCAACACTGGGATGCAACTACATCCAACTGACGAGACCCGAATAGAACGAAACACGCGTTTTGTATTTCATTGTTAGCCATCAGCCATCTTTGCATAGAATCAATTTATATTTAAATAAAATTCTATATGAATTTTATCTATCTAAAAAGTTCATGAACCTAGATACTTTCTAGTCTTTGTCGACCTTCTCAAGAATTAGAAAACCCCCTACTCTTTAACAACTCCGCCTGGAGCCCCTCTGGGGCTACGTCCGGTCTAAAGCCCGAATAAAGGAGGAAGGTTGGACATGGGGTTAGCGACCATATCCCGTACAAAACTAACTCGCTAAAAAAACACTAACCTACTCAGTGACAAAAAAAAGAAAGACCAATACCCGTTAATACATGTTCTCATCTTATCTTCAAAATGAAACAAAAAATCAATAATAAGAATATAGAACAATAAAAAGTACTTTTTTTCAACAGTTTTTTTTGTTATTTGACCTCTTGTTGTTAATCTCAATTCTGATTCTTTCAAACTTTCTTTATCCATTTCAACTTCAATCTGATGCTAAATTATGTAATTGATAATAATTCAATTAAAGATTTATAAAATAAGTAATTACATGGAATATAAATAATTATATTAAACGATTATGAAGTTCATCATTGTTATGCTAATGAGGTGTGACAACTTGAACCGATGTATATATGTGCTTGAGCCTACGTTGTAGCTGATTGACTGACTGACTAACTGACTGATGGGGTTCAAAGATGTGACATAGTGATTCACTGAAGACAATGATGGATGTGTTACTCAACTTCGTGGATTAGTTGAAGTTAGACATTAACACCACTGAATGTCGGCTCAGTGGTGTGGAGGCTAAGAGTTCGCGCGTGAAATTGATAGGTCCCGGGTTCGAGTCCTGCAGAGCGGGATCGTGGATGAACACTGCTCTAGAGGAGTCCCACAATAAGACGAAACGGCCATCCAGTGCTTACAGGTTTTCTATGGTGATCTAGTTTCAATTGACTCATGATATCAACCATTAAAATTACTATAATATCCACGAAACCTCTTCTGATACAAAATAAATGTTTACAAAACAACTACATGAAATATAAATAACTATATTAAAGGATTATAGGGTTCATCTTTCTATGCTAATGAGGTATGACAACTTGAACTGATGCATATATGTGCCTGATCCTACGTTGTAGCTGACTGACTGAGGTGGTTCAACGATACTTATTGTTGGAGAATTTAAAATTACACATATCTTTTTTTGAAAATCAGGATTTAGACTTCGAATCTTCAAAAAAAGGGGAAGTGTTATATCCTAGTGAAGATTAAATTATGGGTAACTTCCTATTGTATAACTGTTCAGTAACTAGATTGGGTATATCTATGTTCCTCTTATTATAAGCTTCCAGGGTGAAACTATAATTTATGGACGACCTTTGAGTGACTCTAACGTGATCTTGAGAATGTCTATCAACTTACTAAGGCTAAATAAGGGTTATAAACCGTTGTAAGGAATTCAGATTATGATTTACTGTTGATGGTTAAGGTTAGGAATTACGTTTAGGGTTTTCATCACGAACTGACATCAGCTAAATTGCCAAAACTCTATTTATCCAAATGGATGAGTGAGTTTCGCGCCAAAATGTAAGACCTTGTAACAGCATAGGTTGGTTGGTTAAGAGTTGACCTCAAACAACCAAGCATATGCCAAAACAGTACAGGTCAAGTATTCATTCACTTCCTTATTTTGCATAGGCGTTATATTTCCTATTATCTTATATTGAATGTTGAAAGGCTTTGTTTGTCTGAACAAATAATCCCACGCTGCACTGTGACTGCGCGAAGATCGAAATAAAGACCTATTCACTACCTGTCTGGTTTCTTCTATCAGTAGCACGAGTGTTACCTTAAGGCACGACGTGTTATTTCCTATTTTATAGTGTGATGTGGTCTCTTTGGATGGTATATAAACCAAATATGTTTGAAATAATTGATTCGCATAATGGAAGCTGTTATTAGCGTTCTAGACTCAACTGGACAGGCTAGGTGAACAAATGACCAATAAGGACGGTATGCTGATCATATCAATCGAACATCATTCGTTTTGGCATAGTACTAAGATTGTATAAGTCGTATTTGGATTGGTGAATAAATTTTATCTTGTCAATACATTTTCGTAGGTTTTTTTGTAGGGACTAAATGTTTCAGTGTTTCAGTGATTTGATCACATTTTGATTTAATGGTTGATAAAGGAAGTTATTTGTACGCTTTATATGTATAGAAAGATAATACTTCTTGCTATGTCAGTTAACATGATTCTCATTTGATCTAACCATAATAATCAACCAATCTATGATGAACTGATCCAACAAACCTGTACATATAAATTTAAAGCATAATTCATGATTAGTAGTATAGGTATTAACTCCGCTTGGAGTCCCTCTAGGGGTACTGCCGATTCCAAGCCCGGTTAAAGGAAGAAGGTTGGGCATGAGGTTAGTGACCCCATCCCATAGAAAACTGACTCGCTAAAAAAAACGCCAACCAGGAAAAAAAATAATAATTCAGTATAGGTATTGTCTAAACAATTCTTAAAGGATATTTACTTCAACTTACCGCAAGTTCACTAAGGGTTTCTTTTGACATTTTATGAATTTCATTTATACAATTTACCCATTGACTAAATGAATTAAAATGAAAAGAAATATTTATAAAAAATGAAGGAAGGGATGAATAACTATTCAATAGATTAATTCATAATATATGGATAAATATTGTGGTGTATGCTACTGATATCGACAGATATAAGTAGTATATATCATTAGTCAAAAGTGAAATAGCTGGCGGCAGAAGGTTAAGAAGATCGAAGGAAAGATAACGAGAATAGAGAATGATTAGTGTAGAAACGAAAGAACAATGAAGTCTGGAACGATTGATTAACATTTTGCAAATGAAGTATTCACTGTATGGTTCTCTAATTTGTGTGTTCAATTACATTCGATTGCCTTGAATTGTGTGTTCTAGTACACTACGATACCATCCAGTTGCTTAATCAACACCAAAATTCGTAATAAAATGTTAGAAATGTGAAATTAAACACATAGAACCCCACTTTATGTTGTACCATACTATTGGTGGCATTAAACATGATCCTCTAATTTCCTAATTATATATTGTATTAACCATCTGTGATTATTTCCAGCAGTGTTTAAGAAATTCATTGTGCATTGGTTGTTTAAATCTTCCTAATAATGTTTAAGAACTCCACCTGAAGCCTCTTCGAGGGCTACTGCCGGTCCCAAGCCCGGATAAAGGAAGAGGGTTGGGCATGGGGTTGGCGACCTTATTCCGTGGAAAACTCACTCGCTAAAAAAACGCTAACCAGAATAAATTATTCAAACGAAATTATGAATGATGTTTAGGACTGCAATAGATCAGTCTCTTATTGACATATTTGGATTCTGTGCAGATTACTTCGATATTACCATTAGATCGCAAGGATTATAAGTAATGATGGATGGTGGCAAGAAGTGGAATCCAGGAAGCGCGTCTCGTCCTGTCAGGTATTTGTCAACTGGATGTACCTGCTTCCTAAATTTTATGTTCATTCAGTTGACGAGTCAAAAATAGGACGAAATACATGTCCTAGATTCCAATTTAAGTCAGCATCCATCTCTGCTTGTAGTGTTTAAGAAAGCTTATAATCTAAAAGAAAGACGTTTTCACTGAGTTCGTAGATGATGATGCATAAGTAATTTTGCTTAATCTATTAATAATCAACGTTTCTACGTTTCCTATGTATGTATGGAATCTAATTAACTCAAATTACTTTAGCAAAATTGACAAAAATGATTGAATATGACCAAATTGAGTTGTGAAACGATGAAAATATCTGACTTTCAAGCAGTTCGTGAACAACACTGACAGTTTAATCTTTGTAGTTCGTTTTTATCTTGTGAAATCCAGAGCAGCTTCTTCAAATTTCATCTACTTATGATACCGTCTTGAATTAATTTAGTCACTCACCGTCACACTAACTATACAATGACATACGTTATCCTTCTTTATTTTTAAGTCAGTCAAAATCTGTCAACAATCAGTGCCAGTCATTGCTTTCATGTCTGCATTAGATTCTCTTTGTTCGTCGATAGTGTTGCCCAGATACATGAAAATTTCCACATCTTCCAGAACTTGTTCACCAAGTGTGATTGAATTGGTGTTCTCCGTGTTGTATTTGAAGATCTTGGTCTTTCCCTTTTTATGTTGAGGCCTACTGATACAGAGGCTTCTGCTACACTGCACCTGCGTCTGTAAGCTGTCCTCTATGGACAACTCCTGAGGTGATTTAGTCATTAAGTGTCTAAAACCTTCATAGAACACTGATCTTCCTTCTTCTCAGCTTATTTCATTAAAAGTATCTCTTGTTTTTATTAAAACCGTCTTCATCCTTTTATGAGACCGAATAAAAAAATGATATCCTAATTGTAATTCATCAATTTCAAAACTCTTATCAAATTTTGTTCACTACTTTACAAGCAAAGATGGATAGTGGTTAACAGTAGAATCCAGGACACGAGTTTGGACCTATTTGTCACTCGTCAGCTTGATGTATTTGCATTTCAGAGTTGATGTTCACTCTGAGACTCGAGCCCAGTATCACTCACTTCAAACAACATCGCGTTATTCCCTTAGCTACTATTGAGTTCTTATAGCCATCTGCTTGTGCAATGGGGTGAAGTTTAAAATTCACTTGGTATTGTTTTACTTGTATCTTCTCATTGTTATTTAGGACTACGATTGAGCAGTCTCCTGTCGGCCTATGTTCAGCCTGTTTGGATTGCCTCGAGATTACCTGAATTTACAAGCATTATAAACAAAGATGGATAGTGATTAGCAGTGGAATTCAGGACATGTGTTTCGTCCTATTTGAGACTCGTCAGTTTGATGTACTTGTATCTCATTTTATATACAGTCAATATGAAAAATGGAAACATAAAAAAAAAACACGATCCAAACAAACTTTTTATTTTTCTTAACAGAATTTGCACTTTTCAAAAATTGCACACATTTTCGATTAGATATTGATGTATTATTATTATTATTATTATCGATTTTATTAAGATTTTGATTGATTTTCTTTTGATTATTTGGATGTAAATCAATCAAATCATTTGTTGATATTAATTGATCTGATTGATTAATTATTGATGATACATTGAAATTCTCTTCTAATAATGAAGGTTGATCAGATAATTGTTCAGTAGTATCTATGACAATTAATGAAAACAATAAATAATATATCAATCAACTAAAGGAAAAAAAATGGCAAAATTATAATTTATGGATGAAACAATCAGATATAAGATAGTTACTTAAGCCTGTGACTACTAATGGAGCATAGGTCGCCGACCAGCATTCTTTAGCCCACTCTATTCTGAGGATTCCTTTCCAGTTCTATCGAAATTTTGTTCATTCTTCGCATATCTGTCACTATTTCCCGTGGTAATGTGTTCTCTTCTCCTTTGACCTTGAGGATTCCAAGTCAGCGCTTGAGTGTTTTCCTCAATGTGTGTCCTATCCACTTCTAGCACTTCTTCCTGATTTTTTCCTCCAATGGAATTTGGTTTGTTCTCTCCCTCGGTAGGTTGATGCTGATAGTATCTTGTCAACGGATCGAAAGTATTTTGTGAAGATAACTGTTAATAAACAGTTGTATTTTTTGGATGATGACTTTCGTAGTTCTTAATGTTTCCACCTCATACAGTATAACTGTGTTGATATTTGTATTGGAAATTCTGAGTTTGGTGTTGGTCGACAGTAGATAAAAGATAACGAATCATGAATTTTGGAGCGAAATTCATTCATACATTTGGCATTATACTTGATATCAGTTCGTGATGGAAACCCTACGTCTAATTTTTAACCCTAACCATCAACTGCTAATCATAATTCTCACTGTTTTATAACCCTCATTTAGTTCTGATTAGTAGGTGTCCATTCACAAGGTCACTTCAGTGTCGCTCAAAGATCGTTCATAAATTATAGTCTTAACGTTATTTTATATTTCCCTCTCACTCTGAAGAATTTTCTTATAAACTCGGGGATTAATGAATAAGGACTGGAAATCCTAATTACTAAACCGGTCTTTCAAACAGAAAACGATAGGATTTAGGTTTAAACTCTTATATCAGCAAAATCCAAACTATATATTTATGTATGTGGCTCTAAGTATAAAGCATCTGTTATATCTTGTGACCTTGTGCCCCTACCAATATATGACGTAATGATACCGCCACCGGACCAATGACACATAAATCCATACGAGCAGTCTAAAGTCCTTATCGGTCCTTCTCTCTGCCTAGCCTTGCCTGTTAGAGTCCCAGAACACCAATCCCAGCCTCTGCGATATGAATCATGTATTACAAACCAAACAGAGCACATCGTACCATGAAATAGAAAATAACATTCGTACAAGATTTAGCCAAAAGCGGCTGTGAATGTGGGAGATAATAATTGATAAACTAGGCATAAGTCATGAACGGTTAATCGCATTATAATAATCTATGGGTCAAAACAAAGCTTGTAATAAGAAAAACACGAATATACATGGTTTTCTTCTAGTTAACGTTTTTCAGTGAGTTAGTTTTCCACAGGATGGGGTCACAAACCCCACGCTCAACCCTCCTCCTTTATACGGGCTTAGGACTGGCAGTAGCCCAGACGGGTTCCGGGTCGAGTTTACATGGTTTAGTTACTTAGCAATTATACAATAAAAATATATGTATAGGATTGGTCCATAAATAGATCCGAATAGTTATCATTCAATATTCTCATCGCGATATAACAGTAGATTTGATAACTAAAAGCTATCATGAACATGTATCATCAGTCAGTCCGTCAGCTACAACGTACGACCAGGCACATATATACATCGATCCAAGTGACCACACCTCATTACCACAACAACATGACACACCGGATTCACAAAAGTAGTTAATTCAATGGTGGTATAAGGAAGAAAGAATTAGTTAGTAGAAAGAAATACATGAAGCGATTTCAATCTCGTAGTTTAAGGGAAGACAGAGAGTGTATACACCGACACCATTGTGATCGATCGATTCTGAGCCATGTCACCCACAGTCTGCGACCACTGGTTACGATAGTCACACGAACCCAAACCAAGTAGTCTGCATCTGCCAACATGGCTCAGAGTAGAAGTTAGTGACTTCGATGACTGATGCCACGGTTTGGTTTGGCCACTTCTAACTTTCTACTAATCATCCCCTACACCAGTCAGCATTACGCTTCGTGCATCATAGTTTCCTGTAGATTGACGATGAATGAAATGGTTTAATTTTCTGAACTAGGTTCATAGACATAAATAGTTCTAATCATTTAAATATTATTATCAAATTCAAGCTGTTCACATTGACTATAATGAAGAAGTTCTTGGCAAGTGTTATAGCCTAAAGCCGCCAATCAGAAGCAGCGAATTATCGATCGGACCAAGAACGCGTAAAACACGTGCGAGCAGCCTAGAGTCCTGACTGGTCCTGCTTTCCGCCTAGCCCAGCCAGTTAAGTTCAGAACACCAGTTTCAGCATATGTAATATGAATCCTTATATTTCAAACTTACTGAGTTTATATACCAATCAAATAGACCACATCGTACCATCAAATAGGAAACAACATTTGTACAAGAATTAGTCAAATGTGGTGGTGAATATGGGAGGCAGTGACTAATAGACAGGGCATAATTCAAGAATGGTAAGTGGTATAATAATAGTTCATAGGTCAAAATAAAGTTTATAATAAGAGGAATATGAATATGAATAGTTTGGTTACCTAACAGTGATACAATAAAAGTATACGTTTAGTATTGGTCCATAAAAAGATCCCAAAGTTACCATTCATTATGCTTCTCAGGACCTAACAGCAAGTAAGCCAAGTGTTTAATTACTTTTATTAATTCATTGTAATTTATTTGACTTACCAAATTTGGACACTTTATTGATTGATTGCAATTTCATAATTGATGATGAAGGTGTTGGACATCTTTGTTCCGATGATAATGTACCAGATTGTAAAGAATTCAAACTATTCGTTGAATCAATCTATCATAAATTATTAAAAGTATTAATCTAATAATAAAGATTATATTAGGAGAATTTAACTAAGGCATAATTATTGTTACTTCAATCTATAATTAATGGTTTGAGAAACAACTCTATACCTCAGTACAATGGAAGATAGTTGCTCGATTTCGTGGATTGGTTGAGGTAAGACATTAACATTGTTGTAAACCAACTCAGTAGTCTAGTGGCTAAGCGTTTGCGCGCGAGATCGAACGCCTTATATGTTATTAAGGATTATTGAAGATTGAATTGAAGATCAAATCATGAGTACCTTCTGAGATCTATTAATGGGCTAATAATACGTACATATATATTCCTATTGTATAACTGTTCAGTAACTAGATTGTGTATATCTATATTCCTCTTATTATAAGCTTCATTTTGACCTATAGATTATTATGATACAATTTACTGTTCTTAAGTTATGTTCAGTTTATTGACTACTGCCTGCCACGTTCACAGTCACTTTTTGGCTTTATTGTGTACAAATGTTATTTCCTATTTTATAGTGCATTGCGGTCTGTTTGATTGATATATAAACCAAGTATGCCTGAAATAAATGATTCCATTCGATTCGCATATTGGAAGCTGGTATTTGGTGTTGTAGACTCAACTGGACAGGCTAGGTGAGCAAAGGACCAATAAATACGGTAGGCTGATCATACCAGTCGAACGTCATTGGTTTTGGCATAGGTCGTATTTCGATTAGCGAATAAATTACGTGATAACTAGCTAGGCTTAAAGTCACAACACTTGGTTCGAATCCCGCGGAAAGGATCATGAATACGTACTAGTCAAGAGTTTCAGAATAGGACGAAACGGTCATCGAATGCTTCAAGTTATTCAATGGTGGTCTAACATCAATCAAAATATATAATAAGCTTGTTTGAACTAACTTGCTGATTTTGATATTTAGTCTTTGCTTGTTTATAATTTGTATCATAAACAAAGTCATGCCAAATTTGATCAGGTTGATTTTGTTGTTCACATAATTTTCCTAATTCTATTGATGAATCACTGGAATTGGTTCATTAAAGTAAGAAAAAGTATAAAATTATAAGTAATTTAATAATTAGTACTTTAAATAGGAAGTAATGATAGTTAAAACTGTTATTGTGATTAACTATAGAAGCTCAGTAATTTGCACAGTACAGAGTCAAGAAAATTCTTGAATTTCATTGGAATCATGAACTGACTAATATGAGACTACCAGTAAAAAGCTGAAAGCATCGGATAGCCATTTCGTTATGGTGTAGGATTCTTCAGAAGTGAGTATCCACAATTGCATACGTGGGACTCAAGACCTTCTGTCTCTCGCAAACTCTTTACCTCAAGACCACTGAACAATATCCACATCCTCATACTGAAAATTCCCATATGCTCACTACTGATTAGCTTTAAGAAACTATTCTCGAAGTTTTAGTGAGAAGCCTTGATCAGAGGAGTTCAACCGTGTCAGATATGAGGCAGTTTTACTCACCGAGGATAATGAAAGATGGTCACGAAATATTATAAATCCTTTGAATCTAAACATCAACCCTGTTGTCCACCAGCTCACTGCCCTAGAGGTTATGTGTCCGCGCGAAACCGGAGGTGTAGGGCTCGACTCAGTGCGGGATCGTGGATGCGCACTGCTGAGGTGTCCAATGCTGGGATGAAATGGCCATCCGATTCTACCAGGTTTACAATGGTGGCATGACGTTGGTCGATTTATGATTTCAATAATTCAGTGATTTTGTTGTTTCTGTTTCTTAAATATTTCGGACAATCTAAATCTCGACTAATCACATTCACTCATTTTCTTGTAGCCTATTTGTCTTATAATTTAGTTTGTTGGCTTCAGGTATACAAACTTGATGGAACCAACGCATTTATTTTATGTAGCTGCAAATTTACATACAGTATAAATAATGATAAAGTGACCCTGTCAAATGTCATATTCTCTTAGATCTTTAATCAAAGCATACGTTTCAGATTCACTTTGAGTACCACACTAATCTTTTAAGAAGGTACTGTTGTAATTGTTTTCTTCTAGGTTTAATATTCACTAGAGAACAACAGATCAGTTGCCATTTTACAGATGTGAAGTGTAATCACAGCTCAATATTCAAGCGAATTGATTTTCTATCAGTTCACTACTAAGTGAAAATCATTTACCAACCATGGTAGTACTGTTTGATTACTTTCAATAGGTCTTGTATATCGGATATTTATAAATGTCTGTAGAAAGTCAAGAATATCCACTATTATTATAACCGGTCTGCTATTTTCCTTACTCATTAGTTTAACGCGGCCAAACCAAAACGTGGCATCAGTCATCGAAGTCACGAACTTCTACTCTGAGCCATGTTGGCAGATGCAGACTACTTGATTGGGATCCATGTGACTATCGTAACCAGTGGTTGCAGACTCTTGGTGACATGGCTCAGAATCGATCGATCACAATGGTGTCGGTGTATACACTCTCTGTCTTCCCTTAAACTACGAGATTGAAATCGCTTCATGTATTTCTTTCTACTAACTAATTCTTTCTTCCTTATACCACCATTGAATTAACTACTTTTGTGAATCCGGTGTGTCATGTTGTTGTGGTAATGAGGTGTGGTAACTTGGATCGATGTATATATGTGCCTGGTCGTACGTTGTAGCTGACGGACTGACTGACTAACTGACTATAATTATAATTGTTACCACTATAAAATTAATCTTTTTTTATTTGTGTATTCTCTACCAAAGTAAAGAATTCTCAGTGAGACTATAATTTATGGAAGAGTCGATCAGGTATAAGATAACAGGTCCCGGATTTTGGAATGAAACTTACTCATTCATTTGTCTGAATAGCGTTTTGACATTTTAGATGATGTCAGTTCATAATGAAAACTCTAGATCCTATTCCTAACCCTAACCATCAACTGTAAATCATAATTGGAATTCCTCACACTGTTTTATAACCTTGATTTGGTCCTAGTAAGTAGGTGGACACTCTCAAGGTTAGTCTAGAGTCGCTTAAAGGTCGTCCTTAAATTATAGTTTCACCGAATGTTCATTACATTCAGCATTTAGCATTGTATTTATTTGTAACTCTTTCTATTGTAGTACGTCAGCAAATGTAGTTGATATTCATAATAAGCCAGTCTGAACAACTCTTAAACAAACAGGCTAATTACAATATTTGTCATATAATCTAATACACCCTTGTGGGCCAGGGTAATTTTACATTGGTTTTCAGTAGAACCAGACACCATTTAGACTTCCACGTGACAACCAAAACAGTACGGATCAATCCCGTTCAACAGGAGAGCCAGACACCGCCCAGGCTTAACCCGAGCAGTACAACTCAATCCCACTTCACAGGAGAATCAAACAGCATATAGGCTTTAAAGCTACAATCTGAATAGTACAACACAGATACCAAGCACCCTGGTGGATCATTCGCACCATTCATATACACATTCACGTCATATGTATAATTATTCGGATCAATGATCGCGTGAATCAATTATGGACAACATGAACAGGCCAAAGTTGACCTATTCCGCTTATAATATTTGTATAGTTGAAAATAACTAGCCCAAACAATTGAGTAGACCATAATAAACATTAAAAATAAATATTAGTAAGATTTTTAAAAAAGATGAAATTCAACTTGAAATTAGGAAAAGACGTTGGAAGTGGATAGGTCATACATTACGGAAATCACCGAATTGCATCACGAGGCAAGCCCTAACATGGAATCCTGAAGGGAAGCAGAAAAGAGTAAGGTCATAGAACACATTACATCGGGCAACAGAAGCAGATATGAAAAGGATGAATAACAACTGGAAAGAGCTGGAAAGAATTGCCGAGGTCAGGGTTGGATGGAGAGTGCTGGTGGGCGGCCTATTCTCCTCCACGAGGGATAACAGGCGTAAGTAAGTAAGTTAGCAACTTGATAATTTAATCCAAAAGTACTCTTACCTCAATTTCCACGAAGCTGATATTGGCCTCCATTTGAAGTCAACTTCAGGGTGAGATAAATTATACATTTGTTCCATAATCCATAAAACACAACAGATTTGTGTAAATATAATATCTCTATATGAAATTATTTTAATAAGAAAGAAAATTGTTATCCGTTAGAATGAATTGTCTAAATAAGATGAGTTTTACATTAGTTATTCACTAGGATTATTACAGGACACTAGAAAAAGATGGTGGAGAAGATTTATGGCTCAGGTGGATGATTTTGATGGAGTTCAGAGAACGAAACTCCATCAAAAAGGACACTACAACCAAATGAATAGATTGACACTGAAGTATTTTATCCATTAAGATCAAATCAAGGCTATCACATTGTCATACGAGAGGAGGTTTATTGGATACTATGGTAAATTTAATAGTTGAATTCATCACTCAATTGAAGTTAGGATGAAATAGCCGTCTAGTACTTCCAGGTTTTCTATGATGGTCTAGCTTCAATTGACTCATGAATACAACTATTAAAATTACTATTATATCCATTAAACCCCTCTCTGATAATAATCATCATAAGCTCACTAATGACTGGCTTCAATAGATATTTCCTAGAGTTCTAGTGAGAAGCGGAGTTCAACCGGGTCTATTGTGAGATAGAAACTCACTGAAGACGATGGTGGACGCTGGTGCAATTTCGTGGATTGGTTGACGTTAGATACTAACACCTTCGGATGCCGGCTCAGTGGTATAGAGGTCAAGCGTCCTAACAAATACATTCATTCGGTTAGTCCAATTTGGAATCGTTTGATAGGTTCATTTCTAACTAATCACTTCTGTTGAATGAATCGAGAATATACTAGAAGTTTCTTTTGTAATTTTTTGCATAAACTCTAATACATTTTACTACAGATGTATTTTTGGTTGTTTCCGTTATTTATAATATGGCTTGTTTTTCTCTTATACTTACATTAACTTAAAAGTAAATGAGTCAAGTGTAGCCAAAAATGAATACTAAGCAAACGAGAAGGACAGCTCACAGAGTCGTTCGAAGTAAGGACTGGTGTCAAGCAAGGTTGCTTACTCTCAGACTTCCTCTTTTTCCTGGTAATCGACTGGATTATGAAGACGTGATACAGTGGACAACTAGGATGCAGCTGGACGATCTAGACTTTATAGATGACCTTACTCTTCTATCACACATGCGACAACAAATGCAAGAGAAGACGACCAGCGTAGCAGCAGCCTTAGCATCAGTAGGTCTCAACATACATAAAGGGAAAAGTGAGATTCTCCGACACAACAAAACATGCACCTTTCAAGTCACAGTTGACAGAGAAGCTTTGGAGGATGTAAAAATTTTTACGTATCTGGGCAGCATCGTTGACGAACACCGTGGATCTGATGCACATGTGAAGGCGCCAAATTGCAAAACAAGAGCAGCATATGTACAACTGAAGAACATCTAGAACTCAAAACGACTGTCAACCAACACCAAACTCAGAATTTTCAATACAAATGTCAACACAGTTATACTGTATTGGGTGAAAAATCCAGAAGATACGACTGTTTATTAACAAATATCTTCGCAAAATACTTCCGATCCGTTGGCCAGACACTATCAACAACAACCTACTGAGGGAGAGAACAAACTAGATTCCAGAGGAAGAAGAAATGAGGAAGAAGTGCTGGGAGTGGATAGGACACACATTTAGGAAAGCACTCAACTGCATCACAAGTCAAGCGCTGACTTGGATTCCTCAAAATCAAAGGAGAATCGGAAGACCAAAGAACACATTACACCGAGAAGTTTAGACAGACATGAGAAGAATGAACAATAATTGAACAGAACTAGAAAGGAGGGCTCAGAACAGAGTAGGTTGTAGTATGCTGGTCGGCAACCTATGCTCCACTGGGAACAACATGAGTGAGTAAGTAAGTAAACAAACGAGAACCTACCAATAATCTGATTGTTTTTTATTAGAATATTGAAAATAAACACAGTTTACAGTTATGAATGATTTACATTGTTTAACAAATGAATAAAGCAATTCAATTTACCTAAATGAATCATCATCATGATCATCATCATGATCACCATCATGATCTTTATTCTGTTTATCTTCTTTCACATCACTAGAAGTTATCAACTTATAAGTTTCATATGGTTGATTAGAATTTAAATCTTTACCAAAATCTGGTTTGCATATATTGAAAAATTTCGGTGTAAAAGGTTTTGGCGATTCACTATACCATTGTTTATATTGTTTAAGACGCCGATGTTCAGTAGCTGAAGTTATATAATTATCAGATTGTTTAATATTACTTGATAATTCTCTAAAATAGTTTATAAAAAAGAACAAACAAAACACTGTTACATTTATAGGCAAAGATAAATAGTGGCTAACAGTGGAATCTATGACGTGTGTTTCGTCCTATCTGGGACTCGTCAGCTGGATGCACCTACATCTCGGATTTGATGTTCACTCTAGGACTCATACTCAGTACCGTTTTAACATCATCGAGTTATCCAATTAGCTACTACTGACTCTTGATAGCCACTTGAATCTTCCGATTGTTACTTAGGATAGTAATTGATCAGTCACTTATTGGCATTTGCACATCCTATACGGATTGCCTCGATATTGCCTTAATTCACAAGCATTATAAGTAAAGATGGATTGTAGCTGGCAGTATACAGTAAAACATATAACTAATTAATTAATTCAATAGTATATTTCAATAAAGATTTTCTAAAATTATGTCAACCAATTGCGATTATGATATACGCTTTCAAGTACTCACTAGTAACTAGCTTTAAGATGGAATTCCTGAAGTTCTAGTGGAAAGCGGCGACCAGTGGAGTTCAATCCGAGTTGAATGTGAGACACTTATCCACCTCAGACGATGGATGAAGTGTTGCGTATGATCATGGATTGACTGAAGTTGGACATCAACACCGTAGGATGACAACTCAGTGTCTAGAGGTTAACTGTTCTCACACGTGACCTTAGATTCTGAGTTCGAGTCCTATGCATGGAATCGTGGATGCACACTGCTGAGGAGTCCCGTCCTATTAGGACTAAATAGCCGTTCAATGCTTCCAGGTGTTTAATTATGGTCCAGCTTAGATTATTTTAATGGAGAAATAAAGTGGTGGACGTTTGGAGGAAATAATAAAGTTGCATAATCACTTCAATAATATTAGTCTTAAGTTACAATGATCGTAATCGTGAATAGAAATATAAAGTACTGAAAAGATCTTATTTGGATACTTTACAATATCTCAAAGATGTCAATGATCAAGCTCTCTTATCTCTAAATTCCAATCAAGAAGTTGTTTAAATCAAGTAAATTCTCTGTTGTATTCAGTGAATTAGAAGGTTAATAATTATAACAAAGTTGACTAAACATAGAATATGTGAAGAGAAGATATTATCATCAAATTACAAAATTACTTTGTATATGAGCTGGACATACTTGTCTACGATTATTACTTAGAGCAGATGCTCCCAGAAGACCGATTATGGTATGCCTTTAATAAGGATGAGAATGGAATCTACAACAACCATCAAAACGTATATGAGGCGGAGAGAGGTTCATTAGAATTGAAGTCTACAACAATCCCACCTTCGATGGAAAATAAGGAAACGTTTATCACTGGAAGCTTTTTACTGTCAGTATAGTGTGTAGGTTGGTTGCTGCTTCGAAGTTATCAAATATACATTATCACAAACTGTGAAGAATAGCTTCAAGACGAAACGGATATCATGAAACATTTTAATACTACATAACTAGCAAAATTCATATTGATACTTTCATTCAGCAGTGCACATATACGATCCTGCCTAGCCAGATTCAAACCCAAGACCTATCAGTCTTGTGATAGCTTACAGTTTCATTTCATAAGCTATAAACAATATTGTTTACTGATATAGCAGACCTATAAGACATCGGTCAAATCTTAAGATCATGCAACTGATCGAGATTTGACTTCCTTTTCTAAGGAGTGAAACACACACCACGGATTAAAAAATATGGCTTGCATTCCTAAGGGATGATAACTTGAACACTCGAGCGCTAGAACCCTTTAAGTTGCGAATAAGAAAACAGAAGGAGACTGGGGAGAGTGCTCGTTGGGCAAGAATCAAAGTGTACAGGAAATCATGGGTATTTATAGAGATTAGCGTTTGTCAAATCAACATTATAATTCAACCAATCTGCAAAGAGGCATGTCATGCTATTGACCAATAGTAGCATACCACGTTGATATTCTAGAAAGCTTGATTGAGTTCTGATTGGATGGAACTCTTCGGCTCTTCTAGGGCCTCTGGAGGCTCCATCGTGATTCTCGGAAGCAGTTCCAACAATTTCCCAATTAGATCTAAGTTATTAAAGCCTTCAACTCATTTTCAGTCTTCCCATTCAAGTATCTGATTTAGGCTCTTTTAAATAGGAAGCTTATATATCATTATCAAAATAGGACAACATATGGTATAATACTTACTGTGTTTTAGTTAAAGGAATTTTTAAATCACAACCAGTAGCAATTAAATTATTCATTAATTCACGTATTTCTGGCTCTTCATCAAGTAGTTCATCTTCATCAATATCATGAATTGTCTTTTCTACTGATTCACCTAATAGAAAATTCAAAGTAGAACGAATAAAAATTGATGTTAATATCTTTAAACCAATTAGTCCTATCTGATAAACTTCAATAGTGCAATAAGAAGATGACGAGCTTTCATCGTTCTTCTGAACGACATCATCAGCACAAACTTCAGATAGAAGTGAAGTGTTCGAATTTCTCCATATGTGTTTCAAAGCTTGTTCTGTGCACCTCGATGTTGATTGGTTCTTGTTGATGACAAATATTATCAGAACTATGTGATGATATATATTAGCGCAATATATTTCAAACTACCTGATCATGCATAATAAACTTGTTGAGAGCTAGACTGGACTAGACTAGACTAGAAATGAAGGTTAAGAGAAGACAAGGATAATAAACAAGATCATATGGAAGACAATGTGGAAACTCATCTCTAATATTACCAGGCTATGGTTAACGTGAGAACAAACTGTTTTTGAATACATAGAGGAGGTTTGAATTCTCGTATGGTTAAAGATTCAATAAACCTTAGTATACGCCATTTGATACTTTTCTACAACACCACCAAAAGCCAAGTTAACATCAATCATATGACCTGTTTCAATAGTGTGTTTGACAATAGAGGATGATGGATGTTTATCCTCTACTCTTATTGGGTCATTTCATGATTCTATTTGTTTCTACAATCATTTAGGCACATGTTCACACACCCTCATTTTCAGATCACGATCACCCCTCCACCTTATGTCTGTGTGATCGCACACACACACACACACTGAAATTGGTAAACACAGTAGCATGTGACACTATTGTTTTCGTATCTTTTAGGTTTTCGATGAAGCACGAATCTTGTTGTTTCCTTGATAATGACCTTGACTGCACAATATGTCTTGTTAATGACTGACTTAAGTTTATGTTTCAGTGAAAAGGCTATTTGAATCACTTCTAAATGGTAAGGTGATGTAAACAGGCTTTTTTCTGTCAAGGCTGTAGTAGGTACTGGACCAAAGCAGAGAAGCATATTAACTTCTCAGCATTTTAAATCACTAAAAGAACTGAGAATAAACCCTGATAGTGTCTTGTATTTACTTAATGTGTAGAAATTCAAAGTTCAGTAGCTATAGACGAGCTACTGACGGATATTCAATGTGCATTGGCTGGATACCATCAGCAATAATCTACTGTGGGAGAAAATAAACCAGCTTCTAAATGAAGAGAAAATCGGGGAAAGATGCTGGCAGTGCAAAGGATATACATTAACATCAAGCTGTATCGTGAGACAATAACTAACTTGGAATCCTGAAGAGAAATGGAAAAGAAGAAGTCCAAAGAACACAATACAATGAGAATTGAAAGTAGACATCAAAAGAGTGAATAACAACTGAAAACAAGTGGAAAGGATTATGTAGGACAGAGTTTGATGGAGAATGTTTGTCGGTGGTCTATGCTCTTCCACAAGGAGTAACAAGCGTAAGTAAGTAAGTAAGTAATGCATAATTTCAAGCCGATGAAATTTATAAACAATAGCCATTGTAACAAGAATCAACTTGCATTTTTATACTGCGAAGATCACTTAATCACACTATCTATGACAGAACAATGTATTACTGCGGGATTATTAGTGAAAGACGTTGAGTGTTTCTTACCACAAATTAAAACCACTAGGAACTAAGTACTTTAAGAAACTGTTTTCATACTAACTCAATGTTATCATTAGTCATTTTCTTTTAGATTGAATTCAGTACCATTCGCTTTTCGGTATTACTTGTATGGCTAAATCTTACAGAATGATGACGATAAACCAATGATATGAATTGAATAACGAAAAAAAAACTTTTTAATTACATAATTTTATTTTGGTTGTGATCATGAACCGATTGATGTTAGACCACCATTGAAAACTTGGAAGCACTGGACAGCCGTTTCGTCCTATTATGTGACTCCTCAACAGCGCACACCCACGATTCCGCTCGCATGATTCGAACCTGGTGCCTTTTGTCTCACGCACTAACGCTTAACCTCTAGACCACGGAGTCGGCATCCAACAGTCGTCCAGTGCTTCCAGGTTTTCAATGGTGGTCTAACATCAATCGGTTCATGGTCTCAATCAAAAACTTAATAATCTCCACAACCCTAATTGGATAGATAATTTTATGGTCACTCATTCTACTTTTTATTAATAAGTAGTATGATTCTTATTACAGATATTTGTAAACTGTTGTAACAACTGACCAAGACTTATTAAAACTATCCTTGTTTTATCTAATCTCCTTTATATTTTGATAGACTAGTTGGCTGATATGTTTCATAATTAAGTTTTAGTAGTTGAATTCATTAGTCAGTTGAAGCTAGTTTATCATGAAAAATCTGGAAGCACTGGACGGCCGTTTCTTCCTAGTATGGGACTCCACAATAGTGAGTATTCATGATCCCGCCCCGAGTGATTCGAAACCAAGAACCTATCAGTTTCGTGCACTTTCAGGTTTTCCATAGTAGTCTAGCGTTAATTGACTCATGAATTACTGAAATCTCTACAAAACCCCACTCTCCCATTAAGTTTTAATTTCATAGGTTGACAAGTGATCTACAAAAGTTCAAATCGTACAATCATTAATGTTATGGCATCCAATCATGATATTCTTTATCTTGAATAATATAACTCAGTTCTCTAAGTAACTATCCTTATTTGTTGGGTTTCGAACAATTCATTCGGTTTTTATGAGTAGTTCTTATTCAATCATAAGAATGACATCAACTTAAGTGATCATTTTAACAATCCATATAAACATACAAACTATCTTCCATCACAATATCAACTTTATATTTAATGTATACATTACTTGTTTATCTATTCATTCTATTAGATCGTTTGCTTAATCTACCAATAACGTACATCTTCATTAGTTTATTATTGGTGAAAGTTATGTTTAACAGTTCAATGTTATTATTTTGTACCGTTGTGATGGGAGCTACTTATATTGATATGAGTAGTATATAACATGAGTTAAAAGAACGTGATGTCTGGCAGCAGAAAATGGGGAAGATCAAGAAAGGAAGAGCGAGAACACAATGGAATTTGTAAGAAAACGCATGAACAATGGAATGGGAGACAATGGATTGGTGTTTGCAACAGAAACAGTCCAGTTTGGTTTGATGTATGAATATTTTGCAAATTGACAATTTACTATATAGTATCCAGATTTTATTGAGATAGTCTGTAATTGTTGTGTTACACACATTCGGTTGTCCCTCACCTGTGTTCTTGTTCACTACACCGTCACCATATTTCCTTAATTTCATTTTATTTGTATAACAAATACTAATTTGGTGTCTGCTACTGATGTCGATAGATATAAGTAGTATTTATCGTCAATCGAAAATGAAATGTATGGTGGTGGGGGATTAAGAAGATCAAAGAAAAGAAAACGAGAATAGACAATAATTGATATGGATACAAAAGAATAATCAAATCTGAGACGATTGATTGACATTTTGCAAATAAAGTATTTACTGTACGGTTCTCAGATTTTACTAGGAGATTCTGTAATCGCGTATTCAAATATATTCGATTGTCCCCACTTGTGTTCTCGTTCCGTACATTTGGTGTGGCTGCCGACCAGGGGGGAGGGTGCTGTTCTGCGGACAAGGATGCGGGCCTGGAACTGATGTGCTGGTTGGTGTAGTGTGTGCTACTTATATCAACATAAGTAGTATATAACGCTAGTCAGAAATAGGATGTCTGGCAACAGAAGGTCAAGAAGATCGAGAAGGGAAGAATCGGAACAGAAAGCAATTGGTATGGAAATAGCAGGAACAATGAAGTATGAGACGATTGACTGATATTTGCAATCGGAACAGCCGAGTATGAGATAACTGACATTTTTGCAAATGAAGTATTCACTGTATGGTTCTGAGATTTTACTAAGACGTTCTGTAATCTCGTGTTCAAACACATTCGATTATCCCCGATTGTGTTCTTGTTCGCTACACTAAGACTTCTCGCATTTAAAGTTTCAAATTTTACCAGCATTAACTATAATTGATTTTAATAACAAAATGTATTCATTTGGTTTTTTACGTTTTGGAATGTTACACTTGATCCCCATGTCATCCACAGATGACAAATCTTAATTGATGACATAATTTTTAGTAGTTGAGATCATGAGTCAATTGAAGCTAGGCTACCATGGGAAACCAAGAAGAACTGGACAGCCGTTTCAGCCCATTGTGGGAGTACTCATCAGTGCGCATCTATGATATTTGAACGCAGGGCTTACCAGTTCCGCGCGTGGACGCTTAACCTCTAGACCACTAAGCCAGCATTCTAAGGTGTTAATGTCTAACTTCAATCGACTCATGATCTCAACTATTAAAATTACTATAATATCCACAAAATACCCCTTCTGACATAATTTTTATTAAGAACCAACTTACTACTTATATTAACAAATGAAATGATTTCAGTAATAATTTTATTTGACATGTAATTGAAAGTGTTCTCTTCAATTACTGACTTCAATAAATATTTACATTAACCACTAAATGAATATAATTCATTACACTAGATTTGAGGAGATGTATATTTATGCCTTACTGATTAATTACTTCAGATAGTGACTATAAGATTGAATTCTGATAGTTCCCGTTATGAATAATGGAAGCTCTTGATTGATAAAATCCAAGAGATTATCAATAATAATTGATAAGTATGGAAATAGTTTATTCCTAGTTAGTCTGTTATTGTCTATTCACTATAAACGTCAAGATTTATCTGGGCTTGAGATGGAGAAGATTTGTAGCTCAGTTGGATGATTTTGACGGAATTTCGTTCTCTTAGCTGGATAGTTTGATCGTGGAGCTTTCGTCGTTCTTCTCAACAACATTATCAGCACGTACTTCAGGTAGAAGTGATAATAATTTCCTCCAGAAGATCGATGAAAGCTCCACAACCAAACCATCCAACTCAGAGAACAAAAATCCATTTAGGCTAAATTAAAAACCAGAACATGTTTCTATTTATAGCATGATTATTCAGTGAAAACTCCTAGCTAATTTGTCAACTAACAGGATATTACATCTTTTCATGAATAAAACAAAAACTTATAACTTTATATTGAAGAATAGATCTAACTTTAGTAAAATTTTATGAAGCACAATCTCATGATATTGATTTAAAGGAATTTGAGAATCCGTGACCAGTGGAGCTAATCCATTTCTGGTAGACACAGGTACCTACCTCAATACAGTCACGCAATTTCGTGGATTGGTTGAGGTTAGACAGCAACACCGCTAGATGTCGGCTCAGTTATCTAGAGGTTAAGCGTTCGCATGCCAGATCGAAAGTCCTAGGTTTGAATCCCGCGAGTAGGATCGTGGACACGCAACGCTGAGGAGTCTAACAATAGGACGAAACATCTGTCCAATGTTTCCAAGTTCTCGATTATAACATAACGTCAATAGATTCATGATCTCAATGAAAAACTTAATAATAATCTGCACAACCCCGTATTGATACAATAAATAACTTACCATTCAAGTGATTTTGTTCATTTAATGTATATGCACGAACTGGAGGTATGATTCGACTTTTTCTTGACTCTATAACTTCATTATATAAATACCAGAAGTTATATACCTGAAGAAATAAACGATATAAAATTTATGAATACAGTGTACATAGATTGTAAGAATCATTTTAATGAAGTATTTCTCTTAAATGGTCAATCCTTTCATCAATATAAAGTCTAAAGCATCTTTACTAATTCAAAATGGTACCAAATATAACTTGACTTTTGACATCATTTCAATTCAACTTAAAAACATTATTCATTTGATTGACTGATCAGATAAATATTAATATTGTAGTGAATGAGAACACAGTATGATGAGATTTGCAAAATGTCAATCAGTTGTCTCAAACTTGACTGTTCCTTCATTTCCATACCAATTGCTTTCTGTTCCTGTTCTTTTCTCCTTGATGTTCTACTGCGAGACATTCCATTCCTGACTAGTGTTACATACTACTTATGTCGATAGAAGTGGCACACACTACACCAACTAGTACCTCAGTGCCAAGTCCGCATCGGCCTACGCAGAACAGCACCCTTCCCCTCCTTCTGGTTGGTAGCGACACCAAATGTATTGAACGAAAACACAAGTGGGGAAATTTGAGAACCATACAGTAAATACTTCATTGGCAAAATACCAATCAATTGTCTCAGATTTGATTATTCCTTTGTTTCCACACCAATCATTCGTCGTTCTCGTTCTCTTTTCTTCGACTTTCTTAACCTTCTAACGCCATATATTTCACTTTTGACTGGTGACACATACTACTTATATCTATCGACATCAGTAGCACACACCACTCGGGTCCTAAATTAAGATTATGATTTTCACTTGATTTTTATAGTTAAGAATTACATTAATGGCTTTCATTACAAACTGACATAAGCTACAATGCCAAAACGCTATTTAACCAAATGGTTGAATAAATTTCGCGCCAAAATCCAAGACCAATTATATTAAATCTGATTGGTTCATCTATAATTTATGGTGGAGAAGATTTGTAGCTCAGGTTTAAGGTCAACATGAACTAATCAACATCGAGGTGAACAGGATAAGCTGTGAACCACATGTGATGAAATGCAAACACATCACTTGTAACTGAAGTTTGTGTTGATGATATTGTTCAGAAGAACGATGATAGCTCCACAACTAAGTCATCCAGCTCAGAGAACAAAACTCCATCATCATTTACAGTCTCACCTCTTATATACAGGATATTACTCAGTAGTGAAATCTAGAATGTTACCAAGAGAAGTATTCCTAGACCTATAAGTAGTTGATAAAATTAAATTAAATTAAACATGGGTTAATTGCATACTTTTTGTATTAGTTCTTGACGAAGCATACCAAAGAAGCTTCTTCCATGCTTGACACATTTTGTCATGTCACTGTAAAAAAGGAGACAAATTACTTCTTGATAAGATTGTTCCATAATAGAAATGCGGATTTCAAAGGAACTTTTACAGGGTTATATTAATGAAGGAATAGAACATCAACTTCTACTAACTATCTTATGATAAATACATCAATGGGAAGATTCAAGTAAAACAATACCAAGTGAGTTTCGGATATAATAACTTTATACTTTTCAGATCTAGCATTCGGAAATCCGTCAGGTAAGGTAAGGTTTTTTACTTTAGAATTAGCCTTTTATAGTCCCTACTTCTACCGCGCGAACTCATAATCATTTTGGATTAGAGTTAACCAGTAGAAGCAACTTATTGTCACCGAACCTTAGCATGGTCAACAAAATCAAGTTGCAATCAGTCCATTATTTTCTTAGCCTTTTAATTTTACCTATGTCCATCTGACCTACCTAGGATGGTACAAATTATAGGCGCAAGTGTTGCGGCCAGACTTGGATACTACAGTAGACAATCCCAATTAGTGCGTTCACGTAGCAGCATACTTGGATATCTAAGGAGACAGATCTCCAGCTTCAGTCGACTAACGAAGTACCATAACCTCACCTCATGTCATCGCTAAGTTCATGCTTCACTTCTTACAAGATTGGTTGCATAGAATATGAATTTCTAATAACAGTTCTGGTAAGCCATCTGTAAGTCAATCAGTAATAAGCTAATGATTATTATTTATTGAAGTTGCTTCATAGGAATCGAATTTTGTTCACTGATTGGCATAGATTCATGTATGCAGTTAATTATACATTGGTAACCATCATAAAAGTTCAAGTGATTGATCCAACAAGATAATCAATTGTCTGATCAAAGTATCAAAGCATATCATTCCTAGAAACAAACTGTTTTGTGCATTCAATCAAACACATGGATCTTAAATGCAGTTCATTCTATTTAATACTACCAGTATAATTTTCTTTCTATTAAGGATTCCATTTATAAAACGCTTTTTTGATCTAACTAGGAACTGACTTACTTGGATTGCTGAATAACTTTCTTTAAATCGACAAAGCCCCGTTTACGTCTTCTTTCCATATATGCAGAACCTGACTTCGGAAGATAAATCAATTGAATACCATCAAAATAGTAAGTTTGTTAATTGACGTCTTTTTTTAAAATATATAGATAACATCCAAAGTTTATTGATGTCTGGAAGTCGCCTACTTCTTCTAAGGTTGAACGAATAAGATTGCCTACTTATGTGTTATCAGTTTTGTGGAGACTTAAATGGTTTGTGAAATAACATGACTTTGATTAATTTCTATTATGAATCGATATTCTCACCATAATATCTTGTTATTCATTTCCAATGATCAATTTTAATATTTACGATCATCTTAAGTCCGTAAAACGCTCTTCCATACAAAAGAAGGGATTCGTGATACCAATGAAGTAGAAGAACAACAAATGAACATTAGAAAAATGCCTTAGGAAGAGCTGCTATCCATTGTGATTTATTAACGAACACGGTGAAATCGGAGGTAAAAGCAGTTAGATAGAATAAAATCACATCATTCCTTTTGAACCGTCGTCAATGCCTTCTTCAAGCTAATATAAAGAACTATATTTATGATTTGAATATAATGGTAATGATGTCTCTAGCAGCGATGTCAATCCTTCGATACTGAAAGTGTAGTTTTATTTCAGGTTGTCCATATTATCAAAGGTGATTTTTCTTGACTTGAAAGCAGCATTTGACTCGGTAGACCGCGAGATTCTGTGGCAGTGTCTGTCATTGAAAGGCGTACCTCAAAAGCACATAAACCTTGTGAACGCTCTTTACTCGAACACTACTAGTCGGGTCAGAGCTTATGGCGAACTATCATCTGCTTTAACAACCTCAAGGGGTGTCCGTCAAGGTTGTCCGCTTTCTCAATTTTTGTTTAACTTTATCATAGACCTACTGAATTTTCGGGCATTGATCTCCTTCCAGGAGGTCCACTTATCGATTTAGAATACACAGATGATATAGTCCTGTTTGGTGAAGACGCTGATAAAATGCAGAGTCTTTTGATAGCACTGAACAACATTTCCAGAATGTTTGGAATGCGTTTCTCCCCCTCTAAATGCAAGTTGTTGCCTCAGGACTGGCCTGCGTCAACACCTGGACTAAAGATAGGGAGTGAATTAGTAGGAGGCATTAACAACTTCACTTATCTTGGAAGTCTGATCAGCCCTCATGGGCTGGTTTCTGAAGAAATCTCACCACAGATTCGAAAAGCTTGTTTTGCTTTCGACAACTTACATCACCTATGGCGAGGGCGAGATATCCGTCTATCGATTAAGGGGCGGGTATACAGTGCGGCAGTTCGTCCTGTTCTAATTTACGGCTGCGAAACGTGACCATTAAGAGTAGAAGGCATCCGTAAGCTACTAGTATTTGATCACAGATGTCTTAGAACTATTTCTCACATCTACTCCAATCACCGATTAAGTGATAGTGAGGTTAGACGTAGGGTATTAGGGAACGATGGTAAATCAGTTGATGAGGCTGCAGATATTCATCGACTGGGATGGTTGGGCCACGTGTCACGTATGCCTGAACACCGATTACCACGACGCACAATGCTGACTAGTGTTGGAGATGGTTGGAAGAAAGTTAGGGGCGGCCAAACCAAAACGTGGCATCAGTCCACAAAGTCATTAACTTCTAATCGGAGCCATTTTGATAGATCCAGACTACTTGGTTGGAGTCCGCGTGAATATCGTAACCAATGGTTGTAGAGTCTTGGTGACATGGCTCAAAATCAATCACAATTTTGTAGCTGTCTGTGTTCCCTTGAACTATGAGATTAAAATTACTTTAAACCTCCCTTTCTACGAACGAATTCTTTGTCCCTGTACTATGTCCTTATATGCAATCATTCTTTTATATATTACCACCATTGAATTAACTACTTTTGTGAATTCGGTGTTCATGTTGTTGTGTTAATGAGGTATGGCAACTTGGAAGAATGCATGTGTGTGCCTGGTCCCACGTTGTAGCTGACTGATTAACTCACTATCATCAATTCACTGATTAGTTTATCAATTACGGTGATTAAGTTGTTATTAAAGTAAAACATTAATAAATACAAAACAACATTTTAACAACCAAGGTTATGCGACTGAGTAAAAATGATAGCACATTCATAATCAATTATAACGAATTTTTGTTTACCTGTGTTGAATAAGCTGTAGGCTTTTCATTAATTCCAACTTGTTTGGGACGCAGCGGCTGACAACTTTTTTCAGCTGACTCCCTTGGTAAACCTAGATTTAAAAAATTGGCTTGTAAAAAACTGTACGTTCTTCAATTAAGAGTAATTTCCGATTTGCTTAGCATAAATTCTAACTGTTCATTTATCACTCAACAATTAAACAATCATCTGCTCACTAGTGACTGACTTCAAGAGATAATCCTGGAGTTCTAGTGAGAAGCCATTACCAATGGAGTTCAACCAGGTCTGTTGTGAGATATCAACTCACTGAAGACAATGGTGTGCGGTAGCGCAACTTTGTGGATTGGTTAAAGTTAGACATTAACACCGTTCGATGCCGGTTCAGTGGTCTAGTTGGTTAAGCGCCTAGCGCGAGACTGATAGGTCCTGGGTCCGAATCTCGCGGAGGGCGGGGTCGTGGATGCGCACTACTGTGGAGTCCCATACTAGAGTGAAACGGCCGTCCAGTGCTTCCAGGTTTCCCATGGTGGTCTAGCTTCAATTGACTCATGATTTAAATCAATGAAATTAAACGAGTCTCTAGCATTTTCTACCCGTTGACCTCAAGAACAAGTTTGTAATATTCATATCAACCAACCTATAGGTGAAAATTTGAAAGGTTAACTAAGACTTATAACATAAATCATGTCCCTGCTAAATTAACAAATCGACTAATTATGTATCCTAAATTCTGTCCCTTATTGTAAGGCTCAGAGAATGTTTTATAATTGAATTTGAGTTGATTTCATATTGCTTTTTGGTTTCATTTCCAGGATTAGGGTGTTTCATTTACGATGATGTTGTATTTTATCAAGTTGAATAGAGTTAGCTGAGCAATAATATTATAAAAATTGATGACTATCCCTTACTGTTCACTAGTAGTAATCTAGTCAGTACTTTTGGATATTTAGTTTTAACCCAATTGTTTGAGAAATTACACCTCATTTCTTCTGCTAGCATTTAACTATCTCAACTTAATATTTGACTTCCAAAAGTATATTTCAAAACGGTTCAGATGACACGGCTTAATGTTTTCAGTTCTAGCACTCAAAAATATAGATCTGACTCTTAGAGATCCAAGAGTGTTGTGAGTAGTCCACAACAAAAAGTGGTAGTTTATCAGCCAAATGAACTGATTCTCTTGATAACTCTCATCTTCCTTCAAACCGAGATATCTGCCATTTGAACGAAAGCATTTTAATATCAATAAAAATATCGTGGTCAGCATGGACCAACAGAGATAGTTTGTTTGATACGACATTTATCAAATGGTCCTTTTATTCAAAGAACAACTTAATTTCAGTCAAAGCTGGAGGCGTCTATCATCTTAGTTACTAGTATCCTCATACATATCAAAATACACAATAAATGGCTGTCTAATTTAAAAACGAACCCTTCCACTGTTCTTCATCACATTTTTTGCCTTCAACGCCTTCAGTGCATTCGTTTGACTCATGTCCATACAGCATGTTCTGTACGTTAAATGCAAAAAATATCATAATTAGCAAAAAATAGTTCTAGTAAGAATGAATAAATAACGGCATGTGTTATTGATCGGGTTGTACTGATGTTGGTGACCGCTGACAGCAGTTTGCAAAACGAACTTAAAAATCTGTGAAAAGTACTATATTTATTCAGGAAACTACGTGCTTCTTCGATCTACTTCTAATCAAGTTATCAGGGACACGAGGTTGAAGGGAAGTGAGGGCATCCTAACGGACGTGGGTATAGTCAAGATAGCAACGACAAACTCTGTCGACGAGTTTTTAAACATTCATATTACTACCGATAGAAGAGATACCGAATATGTCAAACGACTAGAGAAAAATGAACCTAGTCATCCTAGAAGTAATTTGCTCTCTGTATTTTAATGGGAGGGGTTTATCGCTAAATTTATTGGAAACCTAGATTAACTTCATGCTGGCCGGCTGTTCATTCATTTTAACGAAGTAAGTGAGGTCTATAAATATCAATATAGGAGATTGGTTTTCACTCCACTAATCAGAAGTGGAGATATATCATATCAGCCATGTACGTATAAACACATTATCGATAAAAAGATTCCTAATGCAAGTCCAGCTGATCTAATATTAATGGGGACTTCTTATGGCCTTCTTTATTACAAACTTTATTTTGAAATAGAGATGTGAACCGGATCCTTTAGGAGAAGCAGCATGGTTTTATAATAAATTATTCTTGTCTCACAAACTTATCAGTCACTCATGAAAGCTAGTGCGCTCTTAAAGACCAAACATTATCTGTAGACGTAGCCTACATTGAATTCAGCAAATCTGTCCACAAAGTTCCGGACAACCGGCTGTTATATAAGCTAAAAAATGTCAAGATTGGAGGCAATCTATCGATGTGGCTAAAAAACTTCCTAGTTGGGCGCCAACAAAGAGTACGGGTAAACTCAAAGTTATCTAGCTGGGAAACTGCTTAGTGGAATCCCTCAGGGTTCAGTCTTGGGGCTAGTGTTATTCCTCTTGTATGTAAATGACCTTCCTAGCCTAATATCATCATCGGTCATGCTATATGCTGACAATGTCAAGATATGAAGAGCGATAAGAAGTAAAGGTGATAGCTTAGAACTCCAAAATGACCTGGAGAAATCATCTGAACGGTCTCAAACCTGGCAGTTGCCGATAAATACGTCCAAGTGTATTGTGATGCATATCGGTCATCAAGGTACAGATACATACACGATAAATAAAACTGAGCTGCCTGGTGTCCAGATACACAATGGCTTAAAAGTCATCGTTAGCCAAGACTCGAAGATACTACACACTGCCGTGCAACAGCAGCCAAAGGTTTTAGAACTTTATGTCATGTCGATGCTAAGACGTTTTTGACTTTGTATACAGTGTTCGTACGTCCTAAGCCTGAGTACTGCATACAAGCTGCTAGCCCCTGTTTAAAAAAGAGAGTAAACTTTTAAAAAAGGTTCAGAGAACAAAAACTAAGCTGACTACCGGGATAGCGGAGCTCCCGTATAATGCTCGACTAGCCAAGCTAAACCTATTCCCGTAGAACTAGAGGCGACTTGATTACAGTTTTCAAGTTGCTTAGTGATGAATTTGCACTCAATATGCCCTCACTTTTTTGTCTGCCAAAACAGAGAATTTACGAGGACACTCCAAAATCTTTCACAAGCCCAGGAAAAATTACTTGTCAGCTGAATATCGACCTTCCTATCGGATCATCAACGAGTGGAATTCATTATCTCAGCAAGTGATTGAGGCTGGATCCGTCGGCTCTTTCAAAAGAAAGTTGAATCAACTGAGAGACTACCACTGCCGCGACCAACACAGACCATCAAGCCCCCTGTTTTTTCCAAACTGAGGCTGAAACTATATAAGTTGCTTTCCTTCTTTGTTGGTAAGTCCGTGAGTATAAGTCCCTTTGAATAGGGTTAGGTACTTAGTTCAAGGACTAGGAGTTTCGGGATGAGCGCGAAATTCAATAAACGCTATTCTGTTAGTTTGTTGGTGACATATAGCTTCACTATGTTGACATTTATCTCAGGATTAAAAGTTACAAACTGTGATTTAGAAACAGCAATGAATTGCCTGGTATGAGCAACCAAAAAAAACAAAATCAAAAATTTGATACATTTGACGCTTAATTTTACTTTAAGAAAACAAAAAACACTTTTTTGATGTTATTCAAAGTTTGTTGAGTGGTATGCGGGTCTATTTTTACATGACAGTTAGATTCATAGCTTTCATGCTATGCCGTTAGCCTTACCACCTGTTGCTTGAGTATTTTGGCATAAATGGTCTTACTTAAACTGATTAACAAGATAAATTGTATTGTCACAGATCAATTTGGCCACGTGGACATGGTTTCAGTCATTCAGCTCTTATCATGGTCATAAACGTTTTAGTGATTATACGGGACGAAATACAGTCAGCGTAGTATGGATACGTGTATCAAATACCACTTACAGGACGTTGAGGAATGTAACCAAGGGTACTTTTAATCAAAAGTGTTGCATCAACGACCAAAGGATGACCTAACTCTCTGTAGGCTCGATTTGTGGGAGCGTATAAACCTTCGAGTTGTTTTTGACAGCATCTTCGTTGATAATTATTGTAACGTACCTTTGAAAATAAAGGAGAATATCGAAAGAGACATACTTCAGATCTAGAAGGAGGTGTGAAAGAACAAATTTCGAAGTTTCTCGTTTGTACTTTTAAGGATCGATCCATTTGTATTGATGTTTGACTCTGTCGTTATCGTTACTTTTCAGTGGTGTATTCAAACAAAAGATAACTTTAGATGCTATATATCGTGAAAAAATGTCATATTTAAAATAGTTCAACAAGCGTTCCTAAGGTTGGGGTATTCTATCTCCTTACTCCTCGTTTTCAGGGTTTTAAAGTAGACGTGGCACATTTAATGATCACTGAAGAACGGATATATGACCTCGCACTTCTGAGCCCACTGGGTACAACTGAGGGACAGTAAGTTTTAACTTCAAGCTCTCATTTTGGGAAGATACTGGTGGAATGCAAATTCTTCTGATCACTTCGATCAACAATGCTAACATCAGTGTGATTGTTTACCCATAAAGCGAGAATGTTGTTTCGGAAGTGGTCTACATCAGCACATAAACTAATGGTAGAGTGTAAATTAGTTGAGCGTATTGATCACCTTACTTATCTAAGAGGTCTCATTTGCTCTGGTAGGTTTGTGTTGGTCGAATTCTTGGCACGAATTCAGAAACCTTGGAAGTCTTTTACAACATGCTGTACTTGTGTAATTAACAAGATAACTGACTGCAACTAAAAAACGAGTTTACCGGGCAGCAGTTCGCCCCGTCCTATTTTACAGGTATGAAATATGCCAATCAAGAATGGGGGATGCTAGGAGTCTAATAATATTCTACGATAGGCGTCTTCTGACTATTGCTCATATGCTTTAGAACCATCATGTCAGCAATCCTGAGATTGGACACAAAGTTTCAGGTAATAATGCGGCGAATAAAAATTAAAAACAGAGCAAAATTAACTACATAATCTAGTTATTTAATTAAAAATACATTATGAAATGACAAAATCTGTGGTTACTTGAACGCACAAATGACAGTGTGCGATACATTAAGTTTACATGGTTGCGTTGCGGATAGGATCACCCAGTAATGTCACTCCGACCGATCACACGGAGTGTTTTACGCATGCCCACCCATTAAATACCTTGGTGGCCATTATGGAAATTTTGTTGGGAAATAGGTTGGAGAGGGTAAGCAAATATTATATCAGTACATGCGGTCGTTGATCCTTGGATGGCGCAATTGAGTTAGGCTCAGGCTAACTAGTTTAAGTCCACATGTTCAGTGCAACAAATGGTTTGAAACTTTGTGTGATTAGCTCAAAACCGTCCTCAATGGAGCAAGTACATTCACACTTTCTTTCTTTAGATCTTAAGTTTTAAAATTACATTATAAGTTCTTTTCATTTCACTTATTCGTATTTTCACCCTAAATGATATCTTTTGTCTGATTAGTTACTAAATTTAATGTTCTCAAATTCGCCTCGCCACTCTTATCTCACTCTGCTATTGGTATCAGGGAATATTATATACATGTGCCAGGTACTATATTGATTATTTAATACTTACCGACTTAGGGTTCTGATTTTCCATTACCTCTAAACCATTATGATAAAAGGGTATACTCAATGATTTTTTAATATTATCCTAATGACATCCGTGTTGATAACGAGTATGAAGAGAGAAGAGTTGACAAGCATTAACTTTAATTTAAACCAACTTACAAGGATGCACAGAACAATTTGTTGTGCTCGTAAATTATTGTTCCATGCTGCTTCTCGACAAATTTCGTTATTCTCAGAGTAAAGGAGTACCGAGACGTAACTGTAGGGACAAGTTTATTATCGGACGGTGTGCTCAACAAAGAATCAATAATGAAATCCTTCTGTTTCCACGAATCGCGGACAACGCTCGACTACAAGGTTAGTTTGTTCATAGAAAAGTGAGTTTATCTAAAGAGTTACAAGAAATATTGGGCTTATAGAGATCATAAGAACTATGCCCAACTGAAATTAAACTGAAACAAAGGTTAATAGGTGCAACATAAGGGAAGTGCCAGTACCAGTGGTCCGGTCTCATAAGGATCTTGGGCTGACAGTGTCATGATATTAAGACGACAGCCCCTTGCCGGGATATCGCAGCTAATGAGTTTAGAACCCTGTGGGCTTTAAAATGGACATTCAATAAGTTAGACACGACCATGTTCACTAGAGTATACACAACCCTAGTGAGAACTAAGCTAGAGATCTGAGTCCAGGCTGCAATCCCCTGTTTAAAAAGTGGGTCGGATGTCCCGGAAAAGTATAGAGGGCAGCTATCTGTGAAATTCCAGAACTCCGGAGTTTATCATACAAAGAGCGGCCTGAAATGCTGGACCTCTTTACTCTGTCCTATCGCAGATTAAGAGGTGATCAGATTATGTTGCATAGAATACTATGAAATGATTTTGAACCGAATATACCCTATACTTTTCTTTCCACTAGATCGAAACATCTCAGGGGACTTAGCAGGCGAGTGGAAAAGTCGAAAACGAACAAAATACACATGGTATACCGATTTTCAGATCAATACTTGAAATTTGTTACGCGAAGCAGTGATGTTCGCACCTTCAGTTGAGTCATTCAAGAGAAGACGGGACACTCACAGGAGCATACTAGAAAAGGAATAATATAGGCCGTAGGCCTTCTGCCTGGATGGCTCCCCTACAACTGGGTTCAAGGTCGTTGGCACCGAACGGCGGGTAACTTTGATTTGGTTTTACGCTTTTTTCGTGCACTTATCAGTAGAATGCCTTTATGCTGCGGTGGAATCGGAACACCTAGGGAGCCGTCTGCAGAGGAGAAAGAAAAACTTAAAACTCTGGTAAAGTTCTGTATATTCCGCTTAATATTCTCAGTTAGAAAGTAAGTTGGAGTCCCATATCGGACGAAAACCTCGTTCATTTGAAATCGTCCAGATCACTAGTCAGGTAGTCGCAGGAACAAATCACTTCGTCAAGGTAACGTTTAGAGTTTCCGTTTACTAAAGATTTGCAGGTGAAAATAGATGATGGCGACTATATTCACGCTCGAATTTTTGAACCACTACCCTGTCATGGCAAAGAACTTCAACTACACTCTGTCGTTAAAGATAAAAAGGAAAGTGATGCATTGGAATACTTCTGAAACTCGGTTCTCATATCCACCACTTGTTTGACTTATATTCTTGTTTTTTATAATCTCTTAATATACTTTTGGTGCTCATATATATTATTTATGATATGATATGTACGGTTCTCTGTACTAGCATCCTACTGTATGTATGCTGGGAATGTAAATGTGTAACTGTTGACCTGTAGTCATATGACTGTAGATTGATTAATAGCTTTTGCGTATCCTTGTCTCTTGAGGCAAAAGACTGATATATATTCCGTTCCTTCTTATAGAAGCACTACTTGCAGCAACTAGCGAAATTTAACTGCGGCTTCTTCATGGTATGAAAATCAAGTATTCCCGGGTGTTTCTAAAGAACTGATAATCTTAAGAGTTATATCTTGATGAAATTAGTCTCAATGGTTGTTTGTAGACCATTTTGTATTTCATACTCAACAGGTTTAGATGAAGTACATCCTCATAAAGAATGTTTTACCTGTATACTCTACCAAATTAAATGACATGTTATAAATAATACTAGCTAGTTTGTCTGTATAACTGTTGAAATAGTGGGAAGTATCCGTGCCGCAACCGTTGTGTCCCAGCTAAGATAGATCACTATTGTTTAAAAAGGCACTGTCTTGTTATGTAGTTGGAAGCAATTGCTGTAAAGCAACGTAACCATGTTCCGTGTTAGTAAGCACTCGTCAAGACAGCGTTTCTGCAATCTTGATTAAATGATACTTGTTTCCAAACGATATCCGTATATAGTGTGAGTTTAGATTATAGCTACACATTTGATTTATTTTTGAGCACTTGCTCTGTTTCGTATTCCAAATCGTCGTATCCCAAACGTTATGATAAAGGTGGGAATTATCCTAATAACTGTAGTATTTTTATATTGGAAATATAATTCCCTCTTTTCATATAACTTGTCTGTAGAATGACTTAACGTGCGTGTGAATAGGTTGGATTAAGAGTGCACGTGATCTCTACCACAAACAATGTCAAATGATGCCGAAATGACTAGCTGAGTATACATATGACTAACTACTACCGTACTAGTACTCTATAAATGAAATCGAATATACTCTACACCATTATTTGGCGTACAATTTCACGGCTGATAGTTTAACCTTACTACTGTTGTTCATTGAATTTGACACAGAATTATCATGGAATCAACCTTTACCAGCGATTGAGATGGTCATTATAAAAGATGATGTGTTTCTGAAACGAGAATGCATGAGGTTTATTATACTTTTGAAATGATTTTAGTGAAATCTTCCGTAAACTATTCCACATTATGGAAGTGTTGCGCGAATTTCTCCACATACTATATTTGTTTATTAAAACGACTAAAGATATATTGCCGAATACAGAACAAAGTTTACAGACCTGAAAATAGAAAGGTGTTTATTCAGTTATTATTCGTCCGAGACCACACCATTCATAAGATCAATCAGTGGTTAAAAGCAGCTCTAAAAGCTCATTTCTCGCTGCAAAATCAGCTACTCTTGATTCCTTCCAGGTCATTGAGCTTCATAATGCTTCACAAATTGTACAAAATTCAGGAAGAGCTGGCTCTTGAGAGGTAAACTGTCTTTCGTCCAGGTCCTGCATGCATCGACTACAGCTTCATCGTCCGCCGAATCCTGGAACGCCACTACATTTGCCGCAGGCAAACAACCACTGTGATTGTTGAGTTCATAGCTGCCTCCAGTTGATTGGTTCTTTGCTATTTAATTGTCTATTGAGGAATGATGTTTTCTTGAGAATTTTATCAGCATTTTTGAGGTTGAGTACACAAACTGATGCCATGACCAAGTGGTTGGAACCAAACTTTGTGATAAATTATTGTTGGGTTTGAGATAAGGTATCAATGCTGATGGTGTTCTGATGGATAAGATTGACCTGCATATGATGATCTTTAGGACGTCTTGAGTCAACCTTTACTAAATTTAGTGCCGTCGTGATAAGTCTGATAGTAAAATATTTGGTCTAAAATGTGTCGTTGAGAGGAGTTCTACACTGTCCTTGTGAAAACCTACTATCTGAGCTGAATT